GGGGAAGTTACGGTCCTTGAAAAACGAGGACAACTGAGATGTACGGGAGTGGAATGCCTCATCCTGGGAGCAGATGCGGCGGAGGCGAAGGAATTGGGAATAGGGGATTGCATTTTTGCAGGAAGGTGGGTGGGAGGAGGAGTATTCTAGGTAGTTGTGGGAGTCGGTGGGCTTGAAATGAATATCGGTTTCTAGGTGGTTGCCCGATATGGAGACAGAGGTCCAGGAAGGGGAGAGAGGTGTTAGAGATGGTCCAGGTAAACTTAACCTGATCTGACCTACATGAAATTCCACACCCACAGCAATGTTGTTGACTCTCAACTACCCTCTGAAGTGACCTAGCAAGGCACTCGGTTTTATCAATCACTACATTATCTCAAGAAAATGAAACCAGACAGACCACTTGGTATTAACTTAAGCACGGGAATTTATGATGGCAGAAACAGCCCTATGTCAACGCTGCATTGTCCTCCTTAATAACATCTGGGGTCTAGTGTCAAAATTGGGAGAGCTGTCTCACAGACTAGTAAGCAACAGCATTACATAATCATACTCAGAATCTTACCTTACAGATGATGTCCCAGAAACAACCATCGCCATCCCGATAGGTCCTGTCCCACTGGCAGGGCAAACTCAATAGAGGTGGTGGCACAGTGGTATATAGTCTGGAGGACATCACGTTGGGACTCCTTAATGTTGTTGACTTGGGGCCCCATGAAGTCTCATGGCCTCAGGTTAAACATGGGCAAAGAAACCTACAGATTACCATGTACTGTCCTCCCTCCGCTGATAAATCGGTACTCCCCCATGTTGAATGATACTTGGAGGAAGCACTGAGGGTGGCACAGATGAACTCTGGGTGGGGGATTTCAATATCCACCATCAAGATTGGCTCAGCAGCAGCACTGCTGATCGTGCGGGTTGGGTCCAAAAGGACATAGCTGCTAGACTGGGTCTGCAGCAGGTGGTGAGGGAACCAACAAGAGGAAAAAACATACTTGACCTCCTCCTTACCAATCTGCCAGTTACAAATGCATCTGTCCATGACCGTATGAGACAGACTTCAAACAAATTTAGCAACTCAAAACTGGTTATCCATGAGACGCTGTGGGTCATCAACAGCTGCAGAATTGTTCTCCACAAGTTGCAGTCTTATGGCCTGGCATATCCCGGTTCAGTCATTAGCATCAAGCCCTAGGGGATCAATCCTGGTTCAATGGAGAGTGCAGAAGGGCATGCTTGGAGCAGCATCAAGCAACGCTAACCCTAAACTGAACTGTCAATCTGGTGAAGCTACCAAACAACATAAGTGGCAAGTAATAGACACAACGAAGCAAGCTCACAACCAACAGATCAGATCTAAGCTCTGCAATCCTGCCACATCCAGTCGTGAATGGAGAATGGACAATTAAACTCCTCATTGAAGGAGGAGGAGCCTCATAAAATATCCCCATCCCAAAGAGCCCAGCACATCTGTGCAAAAGATGAGGTTGAAGCATTTGCAACAATCTTCAGCCAAAAGTGCCAAGTGAGGATCCATTGCTGACTACTCCAGTGGTTCCTGGCATTACAGATACCAATCTTCAGCAAATTTGATTCATTCAGCATGATATTCAGAAATAGTTGGAGGCACTGGATAGTGCAAAGGTTAAGAGCGCTGATAACATTCTGTTATTTGTAGTAAGACTTGGGCTGTAGGACTCCTGAACGTCCCTAGCCAAGCTGATCCAATACAGTTCCAAAACTGGCATCTACCTGACGACAATGTGGAAAATTGCCCAGGTATTTCCTGTACACACAAAGCAGGACAATACAACCTAGCCAATTACTGCCCCACCAGTGTACTCTCCATATCAGTGAAGTGATGGGAGGTGTCATCAACAGTGCTGTCAAGCAGCTCCTGCTCGGCAACAACCTGCTCAATGTCCCTGACGGAACCCAAGGTGGGTATCAATCAGCTCCTGACCTCATTACAGCCTGAGTTCAAACATGGACAAGAGAGCTGAACTCCAGAGATGAGTGTGACAGCCCTTGACCATGTGTGGCATCAAGGAGCCCTAGATAAACTGGAATCAATGGGCAATTGCCCAAACTCTCTGGTGTTTGCAGTCATACCTGACACATAGGTAGGTGTTTGTGGTTGTTGGAGGTCACTCATCTCCGCTCCAAGACATCACTGCAGGAGTCACTCACGGTAGTGTCCTGGGGCCCAAACATCTTCAGCTGCTTCACCAATGACCTTCCATGTGGTCAGAAGTGGGATTGTGCAATTAATCATGAGTAAACAAAACATACTGAAGCAGTCCATCTTAAAATAAAGATGACCTGGACAATATCCAGCTTTGGGCTGACAAGTGGCAAGTAACATTCATGCCACAAATGCCAGGAAATTACCATCTCCATTAAGAGACAAGCAGTCTATCCACTATCTCTTGATATTCAAAGGCATTACCGTCACACAATCCCCCGCCATCAACATCCTGGATGTTAGCATTGATCAGAAACTCAAATGGGCTCACCATATAAATACAATGCCTACAAGAGCAAGTCAGAAGCTAGGAATACTGCAGTGAGTAACTCTCCTCCTGACTCCCTAAAAGCTGTCCAGCATCTACAAAGCACAAGTCAGGACTGTGATAGAATATATTCCCCACTGGCTCCAACAATACTCAAGAATCTTGACATCATCCAGGATAAAGCAAGCTGCTTAATTGGCACCATGTTCACAAATGGCCATGCCCACCACCCACCACCAGCAGCAAAGTGTACCCGTACATGCACTACAGAAATTCACTAAAGATCCTTTTGACAGTATCTTCCAAACCCACGACCACTTCCATCTAGAAGGACAAGGGCAGCAGATACGTGGGAACTTGAAGGTGGTGAAGCTCCCCTCCAAGCAACTCGCCATTCTGACTTAGAAACATTATTGCTGTTCCTTCACTGTCAAAATCCTTGAGTTACCTCCCTAAAAGCACTGTGGGATTGTCCGCAGCAAATGAATTGCAGCGATTCAAGAAAGCAACTCACCACTGCCTTCTCAAGGGCAACTAGGGTCGGACAGTAAGTCTTGGCCTATCAGAAACACCCATTCCCACGTCTCATGAGAGAATAAACATAAATTCCAATTGAAACCATGGGTTTTTTTTTTTTAAAACCCCAGTTTTTCAGGTTGGAATCTCGAGCTTAATGAGCAGACATTACTAAGATGACATTCCTGGTAGAAAGTTTTGACATTTTGTATGAACTGAATTCACAATCAGTGGGACAATTATTTGTAAGCTAGGATGTGGTCCTTTCTAGAATAATGTGGGTATTCCATGCTGTCACCTGTCTTACAGTTTTCGAATTTCTAGTTTTGAAACATATTTAAGCAAGAAGGTGTTTTTATTTTTGGTCTTGGCCGACAAATTGTTAAATTACTTAGAAATGCGGAATGGCTGACTTTAAAAGAAATTGAGAAATCTACATGCAAGGGCAAGGCCTTCCTTTCAGCTTTTTTATTAACCTTAAAAAGAATCTACATTGCTCCCTATTGTAAAGAGTGGTACATTTTATTATTTGGTGTTCTCCATGCAGAGCTTTGCATGTTGAAATGCATATTGAGAATTCGGGTGCCTATTCCAACTCCTGCCCAAATTCCTGTTCATGTGCACCTATTCTTGTCGGGTTAATATTTTTAAGAAGGTAGAAGTACGTTATGAAATAACAGCAATGTAATAATTTTTGGTATCCAATTGAAAAACAGAGCTGGAGTTGTCTAATCTATCCAGGAATCATTGAAATCAATCATACATGTTCACCTGTAGGCCCGCTGTTCCTTAATGTTACTTGCATATGGCTAAAGAGTTCTTCTTCGAGATTTGAAGCATTAGTTAAGACATGGAAACATTGATTCTCTTGTAACGTGAATTTTTTGCAGGTAAAGCTGTTTTAGATACTGTGGTTGAAGTGGAAACCTCGTCAGATAATATAAAGAGCACAGGACAAAGCACGTTTTTTCCAACTCTTGCCTGGCAAGGTATTTAAACAGTACTGTGTTGTTGTATGGTGTATCTCCAAAACAATTTTGTTTTGATAAGCGTGCGTTAACTTTGGCATAGGGCTACTGATAGTTTTGGGCAATGAATCGGAGTCATTTTTTCAATGATGGTAGAAAACAGATGTTAGCAAATTAACCTCTTGTTACAGTCCTTTCCCTATCGTTTTCACTCGTGTTGACTTCAGTGAAAAGGAAATTTAACTAATGGGCGGTCAATTTGGTATTCTCCTTTTACTCACACAATTAAAAGCTAAAATTATCCTTTTCGTTTGCTTGTCTACTAAACAATTTTGATTAATTTTAATGAACGTAATGTGGAGTTTGGGTCAAAGACCTGACTGGTGTAAAAAAATGAAGTCTCACTTCTGTTAGTTGATCTTGTATACCAACAGCAGTAATGTGAAAATATGATGAAAAATATAATATGCAGACCTGACTAGTAACTACAATAAAACACATAATTTTATCTGAGATAACAAGGTGTAGAGTTGGACGAACACAGCAGGCCAGGCAGCATCGGAGGAGCAGGAAAGCTGATGTTTCGGGTCTGGACCCTTCTTCAGATGCTCTTCTGCTGCTTGGCCTGCTGTGTTCATCCGGCTCTACACCTTGTTATCTCAGATTCTCCAGCATTGGCAGTTCCTACTATCTCTGACATAATTTTATCTGTGGCTTTCTGTTTCCTACAAAATCCCATTCTTCATTATGGGAGACATTTCTTTTTTTGTCATGCATTCCTCACATTAGTGATACTTCATTTTCAGTACAATATGCTATAAATATACAATGAGGTCTTTAGTTAAGATGTAACTATTTTTCTTTTTTTTTCTAGAAACAAAAGGTGATAAGAATGGTGCTAATCCTTCCTCTGAAGACCGAACAGCTCTTGTAAATGAGGATAGTGAGCCATCGGATGATGAACTTCTGTCCCTTTCAAGCCAGCACAGCGCTACTAGTGTGGAAAAACAGCATGGGACACCAAAAAGTGGCAAAAAGCAGGCACTGTCTCGATCTTCGGCACCTGAAAGTGTAGATCTTCTTGACTTCAATGGAGGTGCTACGAGCCAGACCTTTCAAACTACTGCTCAAGCCAAACCTCTGCCAAGTAACTCTGACTTACTCAGTGACTTGTTTGGTAGCACCTCTTCCATTCCATCAACACAGGGCAGTAGTGGTGCTCCAGGCTCAGCACATTCTACTCCTCGTAGGTCTGCAGGTTCTCCCTCTTTATCATCCTCACCGAAAATTAGTGAAGGTATTGTAGCTATAAAATGGTGCGGCAAACTTTGAAAAAAAGCCCTGTATTAATGAAGCAGTTTCAGTTCTGATTTTCAAAAAAAAGTTCATTTTTATAACTTGATAAGATGCTAAAATGGTTCACAATTATTGGCCTAAATCATCTAAGCAGTGGTAGTAATGGTCAGATTGCTGCTGTGTCTTGTAGGTTTCCTTTACACAATATTTGGTGCTCATTTCTCCTCTGATCTTCTGAGCCCAGTGTACTATCCCTTGGGAAGTTCCATTGCACCAGAAAATAGGCAAAGACCGGGCATACTCCCTTTTGATGGCACTTGCTGTTGTCTAATGAGCTTAGCATGTTGGGAACCAGAAGAAAAGAAATCATCATTGCTGATGTGTAAAGGACATGGTTTCTTGAGTTGGAGAGATTCCAAAACAAAATTAGAGAAATGATCAGTCTGTTCAAGAATGACTCGTATCAAGGGTCACTTTTACACTTAAATATGCAATACAATGAGTTTTTATTTGTTTGTTTCAAGGGCTTTGCCTAACAATATAAAAATTCCTGGCTCTCCTACATCTTAGTGCTTGACATTGAGCGTATATGTCCATTTAAAAAAGACATTTAATCAGCATAGAGAAAGTACCATGCAGGAAGTAGAAATTTCAACTAAAATGCAACAAGTGCTTTGTACGCATTGATGTTTAAATGATACACATTAAACCCTGAAAGGTGATTTGTCTCACACTGCTCAGAGCATGAACTCCCTCCAACACTGGCCTCTGTGAGACTGACCAGCATACACATCAATGTATTATCTTGAAGTATCTTTTTGTTTTGCATTGGAGCCTTTTTGTGAGAAAAGCAGCAGCAACAAACAACTAAACATTGTATGTTCATGTTGATTGGTGGTGAGTCACCCACAACTTTCTGATTCTGTACTACTTTGCGAAATGCACTTTGTTTCCGTTTGATGGATGATTCATTTTTATGTTGACTCAAAGCTGACATTTGTGTGCTTTGTTTTGAGTGGTGATCCTTAATTGCAAACTGTTGAAATTTGACCTTGATTCAGATGTGGAATTAATGTAGAGAGGTAATCATAAAATATAATTTGAAAAGGTCGGGCCCATGTACCAAAACCTACTGCATAATTAACACAGGCACAAACTCATTCCTGTATTAAATTTGCCACAATGTAGCTGATTTTATGAAATTGTCAGTTTAATGTAGAAATGCACATTATTCACTACATAAGAATGTAACTGATTACTGTCTCTGGCTGATTGGGAGGACAAACTGGTCTGGTGAATGGGTGGAAGGATAGTTATTGTGAATGGTGATTTGATTGTGAGGTTACCTGGGTTAATTTGTCTAATACTTCTTGTATAAGCACATACTGCAGAACTGCCTCAAGTCTCCAACGTCTTGTATGAAAATGCAGAGGATCCTGAGATGCAATGGCATTGCCTATCAGAAATTGGAACTTCCAGGGCAATGCTTTATGCAAGTCTGCATGCTGGGACATGTAGCAACGGTGTATCTTCAGATGTACGTTTAGTCTCGCAAGATCTGGTCCATGTGGTTGGCTTGGATAATTGCAAATTATGAAACTCCATAAACAGCAGAGATAAATGACCAGTAAATCTATTTTTTTTTTTTAAGTGCCTGAGAGAAGAACGTGAAGTTGTCCATTTTTTTGCAGAAAGTATGAAAAAAACTTGGCTAAATGATTGAGAGATTGCAGAGCTCTGAGATGACATTGTAGGTAGTTGCTTGAAAGGAATACAGTTGTAGTCTGCAGGAAAATAACAATGAACTGGTCAGGTAGGGCAAAAAATAGTCAAGTGGAATTCAGACTATAGAGATGTGATCTAATGCATTTGGGTGGACAAAGAAGGAATTTACTATAATGGTAGGATACTTAATGTAGAGGAATGGAAGGACCTTTTTAGGTGCATGTGCACAGATCCTTGAAGGTAGCAGGACAGCAAATATGTTGTTTAGTAAGACCTACAGGATGCTTTATTACACAAGGCATAGAACAGGAACAGGGAAGCTTTTGGTAAAGCTATATAAGTGGTTAGGCCACAGCTGGACTACTGTGTATCCTTTGGATACCACATTTTAGGAAGGATGTGATTTTTGCAAGGGGGATAGAGAGGAAATTTGTATGGATTTTGCCCAGACTGGAGAATTTTAGCTGAGGAATGATTGGCTAGGCTGGAGCTATTTTCTTTGGAACAAAGCAGGCTGTTGGGAAATTTTAATTGAAGGGCTTAGATAAAGTGGATGGGAAAGATCAATTAAAGAGGTAAGAGGCAACATAAAACTGAAACATAAAGCCAGCTCTGTATTGCCAGAATACCTAGATACATTGCTTTCAATTTTTTTGTCCAAGTTATTAACATAAATTGTGAACAGCTGAGGCCCCAGCCCTGTTCCGTGCAGCACTCGGCTAGCTAGCTCGCAATGTGAGTTGCACATTTATGCCTTCTCTTTCTGCCTGTTAAACAATGCACCATAAATTTTTGTATATCTTCCCCAGCTCCATTGCATATTTTACCCATTATTGTTCTCGTACCACCTTTTTGAAATCCAAGTATGTTCCATTCCCCTTTGTTTACCTTCAAACCTCTCAAAAAAACTAGGAATTTTTTCAAACTTAATTTCCCTCTCATAAAATTATGTTGGTTTGTCTGATCATATTATTATTTACTTATTGGTGGATGGCTAAAATTTCAAAACTATTAAACGGAAACTAAATGTTGAAGGTTTTCATCTTGTGCTCATCAGAACTGGGATAGAAGAAACAGACTTGAATAAAGAGAGACAACACTTTTATACAGAATGAGAAGAAGGTGGGCCTTAAGCTGGCACTGAGACAGTCAAATTTAATTCTCCTCACACCAGACAGATTCTCATTGGTCAGGGCATTGCCATGGAGATGCAACAAAGTTTGGCTGTCTTCATGAATCCTTTGTGAAAAATGTGCAATGTACATACAAATTCCTATGGCTTACCCAAAACGGAGTTGTGAGTATTTATGTATGGAGCTTCTAGTGTGGGCCCATATGTAAATTGCAGACCTGGTTGATGGACTGAAACTTATTTCTGGTGTAACTCTTAGCACAACCTGATTTAACCATTAATCAATGGTTTCTGACAGCAGAATCGGATCTAATCGTGGATATACTTCTGAGGCTGGCCCTGGTTGGTTAGCTTAATTGATTGGACTGCTGGTTTGCAATGCAGAGTGACACCAATAGCATAGGTTCAATTCCCACACTAACGGAGGTCATCATGAATGTCCAGTTGAACCCACTCTGAGGCTTTGTTCCTCTTGTGGCACAGTGGTAACGTCCCTACCTCTGGACAGGGAGACTAAAGTTCAGTCCCACCTGCTCCAGAAGCGTGTAATAACAACATCTCTGAACAGGTTGATTTGGAAAGAAAGGTTAAAGATAAACTTCACTGAGGCTTGCAGGCATGGGCTGGTTGAGCATGACCAATGAGTTGTATTTGATACAGTCCACCAGTCATTGGAATGTACAGTCTACATATCCAGCATCTCTCACTGGCGCTGCTGCTCAAATATAATGTTACTTATTTGTGTTGGAGGCAAAATGCCTGTCTTTGGCTCGACTGCAGCATCCAGCTAATGTAGAAAACCATCCTGCCCTACTAAGTCTCAAAAAAAACTAAAATTTTTCAAACTTAATTTCCGTTTTGTAAAGGAATGTTCATTTGTCAGATCACACTATCATTTATTCAGTTCATGGTTAAAATGTCAACGTTACTAAAAGGATTTACTGCATAGTAGCAGCATGAGACAGCTCGCTGCACCTGTTGTTCAAGTTCTGAAGACTCTGTCTCTTTTCAAGGTAATCGGAGGTAGACTGTATACTGTTTGGGGCCAGAAGTATTGAACATAGGTCCTTTTTTGAGATGTTAATAAGATTTCCTTTTTAATAGGTTACTGCATTCTCCCAAAGACTTGCTAATTACTAGTCTGTTCTATTTTCACTTTTTTCCTTCCTGAATAGTGGCAAGTGATTTGCTAATTTCCAATCTGCTGGAACTGATCTGTAAACTAGAGAAAACTTAAAAAAAAAAAAAATCACAATTGGTGTATCCACTATCTCCATAGCTGCCTCTTCCAGAACCCTAGGTCCTGAGAATTTGTCAGCTTACATACTAAAGCTTCCTGTTGTTCTGTCTCGGCTGCCCTGCAAAGTTGCAATTTGGACAATGATAACCAGCATGTGACGAGAAAGGAATAGTGTACAAACATTGAAAAACAGCAGCAAATAGGGTCAAAAGGGGGGCGGAAAGTAGCTGAAAAAGGGCAAAATTAATGGCTCTTTGCTTTAATGTACAGAGTACAAAATAAATGAGTTAAGCAGAAGTCAATTGACATGATCTTTTTGCCATTCCAGAGACATGCTTGCAAGGTGACTGAAAAAACTGAACATCATTATAATGACTCGACTTCAGTTCTGAAGAGTCATACCAGACTCGAAACGTTAACTCTGTTTATCTCTTCACAGATGTTGCCAAACCTGCTGAATTTCTCCAGCATTCTGTGCTTGAGATTTTAAAAATAGGGAAGTATAATTCAGACCAGCCACATTAGGGCCTAAACTCTCCCATATCCTAGCCCCCAACCTCACGCACCAGACCTTGTTATCACATAGCCTGCCATTACACACTACCTATTGTTAGTCACTAATAGTCCACATTAACAGCTATTCACCCTCCCAGCCAGATCATTATCGATTCCTTCAGACAAAACTAAACTGCTGTTCTAACTGAGATAACAAGGTGTAGAGCTGGATGAACACAGCAGGCCAAGCAGCATCAGAGGAGCAGGAAAGCTGGTGTTTCGGGTCTGGACCCTTCTTCAGAAATTTCTGCAGAAGAAGGGTCCAGACCCGAAACATCAGCTTTCCTGCTCCTCTGATGCTGCTTAGCCTGCTGTGTTCATCCAGCTCTACACCTTGTTATCTCAGATTCTCCAGCATCGGCAGTTCCTACTATCTGAGATAGACAGACGGATCTTTAATCAGGAAGGAAATCAAGGGTTATGGGGGAGAAAGGCAGGAAAGGGCAGTTGAGGATTACCAGATCATCTATTACCTCATTGAATTGCACAGCAGACTTGTTGGGCTGAATGGCCTACTTCTGCAACTGTGTCTATTTTTGTTCCTATTCCATCCACTTCTGACTTGCTGATGGATGATAGACACAGGGGAGTCAGGAGTTAAATTACTTGGTGCAGAATTTCCAGCTTCTCATTGGCATTTGTATCCCTTGTACCCATTTTTGTTTCTGGCAAATGGGAACCCAACCCTTATGATACTGATAGTAAGGACTCACTGGTGGTAATGCCATTGAATGTCCATGGGAGATGGTTAGATTGGGTTTCATTGAAGATGGTTATTGTCTGGCACTTGCGTATTCTAGACGTTACTTGTTTCTTACTAGCCCAAGCCTGGATGCTGCCCAGGTCTTCCTTCGTTTCTGTTTCAGTGTTTGAGGAGTGGCAAATGGTGCAGAATGTTACACAATTATCAGCAAACATTTGTACTTCTGACCTGTATGATGGAGGCAAAGTCATTGATAAAGCAGCTGAAAATGGTTAAGCCTTGGACCCTGAGAAATCCATGCAGTGATGTCCTGAATGGAGATGATTGACCTCGAACAACTTCAACCATTTGTGTGCTAGGTATAACTCCACCCATTAAAGAGTATTTCCCCTGATTAAAAATAAAAAATGAAAGAACTGCGGATGTTGTAAATCGGAAAACAAAACAAATTGCTGGAAAAGCTCAGCAGGTCTGGCAGCATCTATGAAGGAAAAAACAGTTAACGTTTTGGGTCCGGTGACTCTTCCTCAGAACATGAGTTCTGGGTAATGTTGGTGATCCTGAAAGATAGGTTTTACATGCATTTGGAGAGGCAAGGACTGATTAGGAATAGTCAGCATGGTTTTGTGTGAGGGAAACAGTATCTCACAAACTTGATTGAGTTTTTTGAGGAAGTAACAAAAGATTGAGAAGGGCAGAATGGGATAGGTTGTTTACGTGCACTTTAGCAAAGCCTTTGATAAGGTTCCATATGGTAGACTAATTAGTAAAGTTAGATCACGTGGTATTCGTGATCACATGGGTGAGCTTGTCAATGAGACACAAAATTGGCTTGACGGTAGGACAAGGAGGGTTTTAGGACTGGAGGCTTGTGACCAGCAGTGTTCCACAGAGATCGTTACTGGATCCATGTCCGTCATTTATATAAATGATTTGGATGAGAATATAGGAGGCATGATTAGTACATTTGCTGATGACACCAAGATTGGTGGTAGGGAAGGTGAAGAAGGTTATTTAAGATTACAAAGAGATCTTGATTAATTGGGTCAATGGGCTGAGGAGTGGCAGATGAAGTTTAATTTGGATAAATGCAAGGTATTGCATTTTGATAAAACCAACATGGGCAGGATTTGTACAATTAGTGGTACGGCCTTGGGTCTGTCTGTTCTACAGCACTACCCAAGGGTGCAGGTACATAATTCTTTGAAACTTGTATCACAGACAGGGTGATTAAGAAAGTGTTTAGTGTGCCTGCTTCATTGCTCACACTTTTTGAGTAGAAGAGTGGGGATATCATGCTGAGATTTTACAGGGCAACGGTGAGGCCTCTTCTGGAGTACTGTGTGCAGTTCTGGTCGCCCTGCTATAGGAATGATATTAGTAAATTGGAGAGGGTTCAGAAAAGATTTACCAGGACGATGCCGTGAATAGAGAGTTTGAGTTATAAAAAGTGGCTGGATAGGGTGGGACATCTTTCACTGGAGCTTAGGAGGTTGAGGGGTGACCTTTTATAGAGGCTTATAAAATCATGAGGGGCGCAGATGATGTAAATAGCAAGGGCCTTTCCCTAAGGTCAGGGTGTTCAAAACTAGGGGGCATATTTTTAAGGTGAGAAGAGAGATTTAAAAAGGACATGAGGGGAAACTTTTTTTTATACAGTGATCCATGTGTGGCAGAACTGCCAAAGGAAATGGTGGATGCAGATACAGTTGCAACATTTTAAATATTTGGATAAGTACATGAATAGGGAAGGTTTGGAGGGATATGGGCCTTTGGAGGCAAGTAGGACTAGTTTAGTTTTGTAACATGGTTGGCATTGATTAGTTGGATTGAAGGGTCTGTTTCCATGCTGTATGACTCTATACTTCTCTCTCTCTAATGGTACGGCAGCATCATTGGAAAACTAAATGCCAGTCTGGTGACACTGGTTGCAGCAGGCAGGATTCCTTTTCCTAGCTGGAAATTGCCTGTCAATTGCATGCAGCATCATTGCTTTTTTTCCTTTGCATTTTGAATTCCACTACATTTTCTCATGACATTTAGGGAAACTTGTGGCTTGAAACTTAATCAAGACTGTAATTTATTTTGACAATTTAGAGTAAATAACATTTGCTCTACCATTGAAACAGTTCAGCAAGAGTAAAAGAAACTTATCCTTTCAAACCAGATAGATGTTGTATTGGTGAGCTATACCACCAATAAGCATTAGTGCAGTTAACCTCACTGTTTCAGTTCATAATAATGCATTTTTATCAAAATGCATATCTGGTAATTCAATTCGTGGGTAAATTCAGTCAAATTAGGAAGCTGTTGGAAATTTAAGTGCTTTAGCTATTTTATATGACTGGTGTTCATATTCGGTTAAAATAGCAGGAGCCCATAGACCAGCAACTCAAACTCCTAAGGTGCATGTACTAGATGCAAGTTTGGCTTGGTGCAGATGACCCCTGTTGTTTGATAAACATCATCTAGAAGTCACTGTGAACATCTTCATTCATCAGTGGATCTTTCCAGTTTGAACATCAGAAAGATATTGGAGTTTTGTTTGGTTGAATCTACAACCATATTAATCTTCAAGTCTTTGCATATGATGGATTTGAGAAATGACTTTTGGAAGTGATGATTACTGCCAGCCTTTTGAAAGTTAACTTCTACCACAAATTAGAGAGAATAAGATAGAAAGCGGTGAACTCTAACATTAAATTAGCAAAAATAGAATATTTTCGGAAATGTAAAAATTAAACAAAGCATATAAGATAGGAATGTAAGTGGTGATAATGAACAATATTTAAATGAATTAAATTATTTGTCTAAAGCTTTGGTTTCATGAATGAGACTGAAGTATTTCTTGTTAATTGAAAAGCTTTATTACAGCCAGTGTGTTTTTCAAATTGTGCATGAGCTGAAAGCTGACACAACTGTTCAGTTTTGGATTGAAGAAGATGCTAGTAGTCATAGAGTAAAAATCTGCTTATTCCTGAGCATTGTTAAACTCAACTATAATAGAGTTTACAGTTTTAATTTGGTGTTTAAACACAGGTGAATTTATATTGAAAGTGTATTCAGAAAGTATTGTCACGTGAATACCTCCGGGTTAAATGTTAAATAGTGTACTCCTGCAATCTTAAAGCAATTGGATCCCTGGGGGGGGGGCGCGCGGGGAGCACGGGGAGAGAGTGAAAAAACAATCTAATTGTTTTCCTATTAACCATTTTGTGTCATTTAAATCTCAGGAACAGCGTTTGATCCATTTGACTCTCAGGCCAAGCAACAGAATCCGGATTTGCTTGGTGTTTTCCTCAATCGAAGTGGTGCAGGTTCTCCAGTTGGACAAGCTGACCCCTTTCTTCAAACAGCAAGGACACCATCTCCAACTCCACAAACCACTGCTGGTGATCCTTTCAGTATGGGTAAGAACTTGGTATATCGCTTTTAAAATTGTTTGTTTTTTTTTTGAAAAAAGATTTCTTTGCTTTTAAAGCTGTTGTGACTCCTCTTGATTTCTGTCCAGCTATATATAGGTGTTGCTAGTTAGCAATGATCTAAACACTGCTTCTGCCTTAATAGAAACAGTTTGCCTACAATTCCAACATTTAATGAAACTCATTGATCAAAAATAATTCTTTTTAAAAATTGAAATTGTATATCTTATTATAGCATATCCTTTTAATCTGAATTTATTTTTGATCCATTAAATATTATTTAACTTCCCTTTAGCCCCTTTATTTCGAGGTACTGATGCTTGGTGAGGTAGTATTCTGCAGGTGTTCCCTCTCCTCCAGTACTTTTGCAGTGGTTACCACATGTTGAATGTTGGCAGCTGAGCAACTGAAGCTAATTCCATCTTTGTTGTGCAGCCTTCATTCAGGAGCAATTGCTAGATGCTAATCATAAGCAAAGATGCTGCCTCTTTTTGTTCTCCCTGAAAGACATGGAGTAAAGTTTATGGTGTTCTATGATTACTAGCTGACCAAGTGCAAAGTCCAGTTTCAACCTCTGATTCATTCTCCTCTGACAGACAGTATCCCTAAACTGAACCGTTAGGGAACCTTTTGGATTCCGAAGCACACGTAAGAATGGGATGGTGGAAATTAAAATGTTTCTGGCTTTGTTTAGATTGTGTCTATAATTTTAACCAGCTCACCGGAGTTCATTGGGTAGCATGGTGGCTCAGTGGTTAGCACTGTTACCTCGCAGCGCTAATGATCTGAGTTTGATTCCAGCCTTGGGTGACTGACTGTGTGGAGTTTGTATGTTCTCCCTGTGTCTGCGTGGATTTCTGTTGGGTGCTCCGGTTTCCTACCACAGTCCAAAAATGTGCAGGTTAGTATGATTGACCATGCTAAATTGCTCCATATTGTCTAGGGATGTGTAGGTCAGGTGAATTAGCCATGGGAAATATCAGGTTATGGTGATAGGATAGGGGGCTGGGTCTGGATGGGATGCTCTTTGGAGGGTGGGTGCAGACACAATGAGCCAATTTGGCCTCTTCCCATACTGTAGGGATTCTATTAACTTTGTTAAGTAATTAAAAATCTTATTTTTAGAAGTAAGAATGATATAGTGTAGTTACCTGGATATTCCTTTTAGGGCTGAGATTGAGAGTGCACCACGGTGGTAGTTTGATACAATTTATATTCCCATTAGGAATGAATTCTTCAGAAGTGGAATGTGAAGCTTCTGGTTGAACAATTAATTTATACAAACTCTCTTTTTGCCTGTCGGATGTGTGTTCCAACTTCGAGATGGATGTTTGCTCTTTGGCCCATCGAGTCATTTTGAGCTAGTCAGTGCGAAAACACAGCGCACAAGCTAAGTTGTTGTAACTGAAATTGAGAGTGTTGTGAAGGAGATTTCCAATTTATGGGTTGGAAAATGGAACTGTCGTCTTTGTCAAGTTGAGACACTTCTACGACGCAGATTGAAACATTTCAGAGCATTGTAGCTTTACATTAGATTTATGTTGTGCCTAACATGCCAATGGGATTTTGAAAACAAAGTGTTCAATTTGGCAATAGTGATATTAACAGCACAAAAAGTATCAATTTGAGATTTCTTTTGAGAAACTTTTTCATTTTATCCAGACATAGGCCCAACTACAACTGTTCACTTTATTTTCTTTCTTGTAGAAAGTGATCAACACGCAGTGCATTTTCTAGCATATTCTATTTTATATCACATTTGTTTCTTTTTTATTTTAAAATTTCCTTTTGTATAATACTTTTTTTAAGTTATCTTTGCTTTTATAAGGCAATAGATATTTTAACTTCAAACAGCACCCTGACCAATTTGGAAGCATAAATTCCTTGGTTCGCAACTTTAGCTGGAAAAACTAAGTGTGAGGATGAAGCACTTGCCCTCTTTTCAGTAATGTTAGTAAATCGAAACATTTTTATAACACAATATGTACTTTCAGGCTTGATCCTGGTAGTGCATACAATTGTAAACTTTCTTACAGAATTTTTAAGTGACTCCCATGAGATCATATCGCATCAGTAATTTAGTCTCTTTTTTTGAACCTTCAGTGAAAACATTGTGATGCACTGTAAAATGTTAACTTTGCTTTACTTAGGTAGAGTCTCCCCTGGTCCCCCATGTACTCCAACTGTGTCTGTTCAACCAGATATAATGGGAAAATGGGGCTTGGGATCCTCAAATCTACCTGGAGGTTCAACGGTTTGGGCAAACAAAACACCTCCTTCAGGTAAAAATGAAAATAATCATGTTTGTGTTTACAAGTCTAACTGACTTTGTTCTTAACAGTGAACTCGCATTATAACAAACAGGCAAAGTTTGGAAAGCACAGAACAGATTGGATTCTTTTGACATTATTATCATTTTGTTAACTACGCTTTGTTCTCAAACTGTCAAAAAGGGATTAAAGATTCAGCACAACAGTTTGCATGGAAACATTTTCATTTTTCCAGTTCCCTTTTTTTATCAGAATTTCTCACCAAATTGTTCAAAGCTGATCTTATCTAGTGTTTTGTTTCTTTCTTGGACACTGTCTTTGCAGATTGATCTTTGGAAGGCTTTTTAATTCCCAAAATACCATAAAGGTATGAGGTGCATTGATAGGGTGAATGGCCAAGGTCTTCCCCCTGGTGTGGGGGAGTCCAAAACTAGAGGGCATAGGTTCAAGGTGAGAGGGGAAACATTTAAAAGGGACCTTAGAGCAGCCGTTTTCTCACAGAGGGTGATGCGTGTATGGAATGAGCTGCCAGAGGAAGTGATGGAGGCTGGTACAATTACAACATTTAAAAGGCAGCTGGATGGGTACATGAATAGAAGGGTTTAGAGGGAGCCATAGAACCTCGACAGTGTGGAAACAAGCTATTTGGCCCAACAAGTCCACACCGACCCTCCGAGCATCCCACTCGGACCCATCTCCTATAACCCACCTAACCTACACCCAGGTTGATAGGGTTGTTAAGAAGGCATACGGTGTGTTAGGTTTTATTGGTAGAGGGATTGAGTTTCAGAGCCAGGAGGTCATGTTGCAGCTGTACAAAACTCTGGTGCGGCCGCACTTGGAGTATTGCGTACAGTTCTGGTCACCGCATTATAGGAAGGATGTGGAAGCATTGGAAAGGGTGCAGAGGAGATTTACCAGGATGTTGCCTGGTATAGAGGGAAGGTCTTATGAGGAAAGGCTGAGGGACTTGAGGCTGTTTTTGTTAGAGAGAAGAAGGTTAAGAGGTGACTTAATAGAGACATACAAGATGATCAGAGGATTAGATAGGGTGGACAGTGGGAGCCTTTTTCCTCGGATGGTGGTGGCTAGCAAGAGGGGACATAGCTTTAAATTGAGGGGTGATAGATATAGGACAGATGTCAGAGGTAGGTTCTTTACTCAGAGAGTAGTAAGGGCGTGGAATGCCCTGCCTGCAAAAGTAGTAGACTCGCCCACTTTAAGGGCATTTAAATGGTCATTGGATAAACATATGGATGATAATGGAATAGTTTAGGTTAGATGGGCTTCAGATTGGTTTCACAGGTCGGCGCAACATCGAGGGCCGAAGGGCCTGTACTGTTCTATGTTCTATGTACACATCCCTGAACAGCATGGTTAATTTAAGCATGGCCAATCCACCTAGCCTGCACGTCTTTGGACTGTGGGAGGAAACTGGAGCACCCGGAGGAAACCCATGCAGACACGGAGAATGTGCAAATTCCACACAAACAATTATCCGAGGGGGAATCGAACCCAGGCCCCTGTCACTGTGAGGCAGCAGTGCTAACCACTGAGCCACCGTGCTGGGATATGGGCCAAATGCTGGCGAATTGGATCAAAAGGTCTGTTTCCGTGCTATACATCTCGATGACTCTGGTTACCTCACTTTACCTCACATAGTCCACCAAGGTTGAAAGAGCAGAAGAGGAGGGAGGATTTTAACAAATTATTATCAAGATTTGAATAGAGCTAATGATGTCATTTGTCTATCCAGAGTTGCCCTGAGAGGGTAATTGTGTGATGACTCATTGAACCACTACAGTTTATGTAATCCTGATGCTCATCAATTTAATGCAATTGAATCATATCTGAGGGCAGCTATGAGTCAACTGTGCTGGTGTGTACAGTACACATGGCAAATCTGAGTAAGGACTGCAGGTTTTTTTTTCTCTGGAGAAGATTCTAGTCCACCAATTTGGGTTTTACATGACAGCTTTATAGTCACTCATCAGATTGTTATTTTTGATTTGCAAAATGCATTTATGTTGGGAGAATGAAGAGTTGAGAGGTATGGAGTTCTCTATCACAGAGGATCATGAATCCCCATCATTAAATATAGTTAGAGCTGCAGTAGACATGGATTTCCCAAGAGAATGAAAACAAGGATTGTGGAGGTATGTTAGGAAGCTGGGGTTGAAGCCCAAAGTTAGCCATGCTCATATTCAAGTGCAGCGTGATTGATGGCGCACATGAGTCTGCTCCTGCTCCTATTTCTTAAGTTTTATTTTGTATTTTCAATCGATCCTTCTGGTCTGAGGATATACCTGCATCATAACCTGAAAGTTGGAAGAGTTTAATGTCAATTAACTTCGAGGTGTCTAAACACCGTTGCCTTCAAGCAGCTACTTATAATGCCACAATGGCCATCATTGGAAACCTGATCTATTGACAGTCACACTCTATAACTGTTGACCTGAGAAATGGTAACATGCATCAGCGAGTACTTTTTACAAAGTAGACTTCAAGGCAGATTGTGCAGAATAAGGAGATCTTTCATCTATACTTAACTTAGATCATAGCAATCTAGTGTATTCATTTGAGCACAAAAAGACTTCACGTCCTCAATTGAATTGCTGCTCTGCAATGAGGATGTATGCTGGTTAGATGTATGGTGACCAGGTGTTCTGAAATTCCCATGCAGAGAGTTTTGTAACATTGGGAGCAAGGACCTTTTCTCCAAAAGCTAAGATCATAAAATAACGTCTGATGTCAGTGGCTGTTCGAGTTTACCTTCCTGGTTATTCTCCCATTGGCTTTCGTATAAACCTGGGGCAAATTGATGTCTTGCTGTCTCTGAAAGCAATTTATGTGCAGCATGGTGTGAGCCAATATGGAATGGGGTGGGTGGTATGCCACATTGTTAACAAGCAGATCTATAGATGGGTTAATGTTTCTATATTATTTTCCAACAGGTGGAGTTGGTGGAGCCAGTAGATCAGCAAATACCAGTCCTACCGGCTCACTACATTGTACTCCGACTCATCAGCGGAAGCCACAGACACTGGATCCATTTGCTGACTTGAGTGCTCTTGGTGCCAATTTAGCAGGTTAGTTCCGTGACATTTGTTAACTTTTTGTTAAAGTGGTAATGAAGAAAGAACAATGCAGGGATAGGCCCTCCAAGCCTGCACCGACACATTGTGCCCTTCCATGCTAAAACTGTCTTCACTTACAGGATCCATATCCCTCTATTCCCTTCCTGATCATGTATTCGTGCAGGTGCTTCTTGAATGCTGCTATTGTGTCTGCTTCCACCACCTCCTCTGGTAGCACGTTCTAGGCACTCGCCACTCTTTGTGTGAAAAGTTTGCCTTGCACATCTCTTTTAACTCCCCTCCCCCCACAGCTTGAAGCTGTGTCCCATAGTAATTGACTCCTCCACGCTGGGTAAAAGCCTCATGCTTTCCACTTTATCCATGCTATTTACAATCTTATAAACTTCTGTCTGGTCATCCCTAAACCTCCTGTGTTCCAGTGAAAACAAACACAGTCTATCCAAACTTTCTTCATAGCTAAAATCCCCCATACCAAGCAACGTCCTGGTAAACCTTTTCTGTACCCTCTCCAAATCATCCACATCCTTCTGGTAGTGTGAGGAGGAGAACTGTGCGCAATATTCCAAGTGTGGCCAAACTAAAGTTCTATAAAGCTGCAGAATAACTAGACTGTCCTTCTCCTCAATGCCCCTTCCAATGAAGGCAAACGTGCCATAGGCCTTTTTTACTACCTTAGCTACCTGCACTACCGCTTACAGTGATATGTGGACCTGCATACCCAGATCCCTCTGCATATCAATACAGCTAAGGGTTCTGTCATTCACTGTGTAATTTCCATCTGTACCGTAAAATGTATCACCTCACGTATGTCCGGATTAAACTCCATCTGCCATTTTTCCGCCCATGCCTCCAACTGATCTATATCCTGCTGTATCCTCTGATGATCCTCCCTATCGACAACTCCACCAATCTATGTATTGTCTGCAAATGTACTAATTAGACCAGCTATGTTTTCGTCCAAATCATTTATGTAGACCACAAACAACAGAGGTCTCGGCACTGATCCCTGTGGAACACTCCCAGAAAGAATGTTGTTGAGGACATTACTGAAACCAAATGCTGTTGTTTAGATGAGGGTTCCCCCCCCCCCCCAATTCTTTTTGCAACTGTTATAATTGACAAAATTTATTTCCACAAATAAGTAAAACCTAATTGTACAGAATCACCCGGTGTTCAAATATAGTTTGATAGATAAACATCAATGTCTAGTGAAGTTTCCATGTACTTGTATTCAAATGGGTAAGTAATTGTGGCATGAAATGTTGCAGTTAGATTGAGGAACCAAGAGAGCAAATATTTTTCACACAGCTATCTTCTTATTGCCACTGCACTGCAGGGATGCACTCACTGCCCAAGCAGTTGTGGTCCCTGTGTCTTCACTACCAGTGATATGGTAAAGAGATGCCCACATCAAAGAATGTGAGCAATAAAATTGGTGTTTCCAAATGATTTAAATGAATCTAAATTCTGGAGTCACATTTTGCCTTGAACATCTGGTTCCTTATCTTTTACTACCTCCCTCCCCCCTTCCTCATTCTTTCCCATCCCTGGAAGTTTGGAAGGAAGGTTGTGTCAGAGATAATGAGAAGTTTGGAATGGAACGACCAGCAGTTAGCAAGCTGATTGGTGACAGAGTGTTGAATGTGGGTGGGGGGAGGGAGGCCAAGTGAAATAGTGAGCGGTGGAAAAATGATCATAGCAAGAAGTGGCAGTGTGCATGTGCATACAGGTGGAGTCACAGAAGCTTCTGGCTCTGACAAATGTTGACATCAGTGGCATCAACTTCCTCTGCCAATGCTTAGGTGGGAACTGCTCCACTTACACCTGTGCTTGCTCCATGCCCAAATTTTCTCATCCCTTTTTATGCTCTATTTGTATGCTCAAATGCATCTTGCATCATTAAAGTGACTCCACTCCAAGTCTAAAGAGCAGCATGTCTGAATGTCCTGCAATGGGGAGGTAATGGCCAAGTGGTATTATTGCTAGAGATTGCTAATCCAAAGATGCAGGTAATTTTCTGGGGACCTGGGTTCAAATCACACCATGGCAGAGGGTGGAACTTGAATCCAAAGAAAGTCTGGAATGAGTGTCAAATGATGACTATGAAACCATTGTTGATATTTGGAAAACCCCTTACGGCTCACTAATGTCCTTCAGGGAAGGAAACTGCCAATCTTGCCTCTTTTGACCTAAGGTGACTGCAGACCCATGGAAATGTGGTTGATTCTTCACCCACCTCTGGGCAGTTAAGTGTGAACAATAAATGCTGGCCCAGCCAGAGAACGTCACATCCCATTCATTTCCCCCATTATTTTCAGTGAATAAAAATAAAATGCTGATTCAGAATGTGCAAGTGCAAGCCTTGAATATTCTTGAATGAGTCTTGAGGTGCATCAGTGTGGTTGTATTGAAATTTTTTTAAAGATTTCTTTTATTTCCCCTTACTGAGACATGCATTATATTTTCTGTTTCTTTCAATGCATTTTGACGTCGTTAGTGAAAGTCACATTAAATGCTGAAAAGCTTTCATTGTTCTATACTTGTAAACATGAAACTTTATTAGCCTGGATGGGTCACATGATTCATATGGTTATTTTTAAGCCATTTTCTTTTTCATGCTTTCGATCCTTTTAGAAAAAAAAATTCCAGTTTAAGTCCCCAAATTACATTTTCTGCCTTTTTACTTGCTGTGCCTATACTATATATTTTGTGATTAAACGTCCCTATGTCCTGTAATGTCTATAATACTTCTCTATTTAAATAATATCTTGCTTTTCTATCCTTCCTAATAACCTTGCATTTTCTCACATTGTGTCCAGCATTGAAAATGGAGTATAGTAAGGACTGCAGATGCTGGAAGCTACAGTCAATAAATGTGGAGCTGGAAAAGCACAATTGGTCAGACAGTATCCGAGGAGCAGGGAAGTTGATGTTTCATGCTGAAACCCTTGGTCAGGACTGGGGAGGGGAGCCCAGAAATGAATAGAGGCAGCGGATGTGGGGCTGGGGTAAAGGAAGTTGGGATGGAGATAGGTTGATGCAGGGAGGGGGTCGATGTGGTTGGTTGGTTGGTGGGAAGAGTAGAACAGATAGGTGAGTCAGAAGATGGACAGGTTGCGAGTGGAGAGATTTTGAAGCTGGGAGGTCAATATTCAGGCCATTGGGCTGTAAGCTCCCAAGGCAAAATATCAGGTGTTATTCTTCCAGTTTGCATTTTGGCCTCACTTTGACAGTGAAGGAGGCCAAGGATGGACATGCCACCGGGGGAGTTAAAGTGGATGGCAACCAGAAGGTTTGGTTGGTTGGTGCGTGTCGAGCTCATGTGCTCCGTGAACCGGTCCCCAAGTTTGCGTTTGGTCTCCCCGATTATAGAACAGACCACATCGGGAGCAACAGATACAGTAAATGAGGTCAGATGAAGTGCAGGTGAATCTCTGCTGGATTTGGAAGGATTGTTTGTGGCCTTGGACGGAGGTGTAGGGGCAGGTGTAGCACCTCCTGTGGTTGCGGGGAAAGGTACCGGGTGTGGTGGAGGGGTTAGTGGGGAGTGTGGCGCCGACGAGGCAGTTGTGGTGTGAACCATCCCTGCGGAAGGCGGACAGGTTTGAGGAGGGAAATATTTTTTTGGTGGGTCTGATTGCAGGTGGTGGAAACATCGGCGAATGATGCATTGTATTTGGATGTTGATGGGGTGATATGTGAGGACTAAGGGGACTCTATCATTACTGTTATTGAGGGGAGAGGGTTTGAGGGTAGAAGTGCAGGAAATCAGGAAGATGCAGTTGAGGATGTCCTTAACAGAGGAGGGGAACCGACGGACCTAAAGTAAGATGGTCCTGCTTTTCCAGCTCCACATTTATTGAGGAAGGGTCACTGGACCTGAAATGTCAACTTTGTTTTTTCCTTCACAGATGCTGCCAGACCTGCTGAGCTTTTCCAGCAACTTTTTGTTTCACATTTATTGACTCCATTTTACACCTTGTTGCCTGCTCACTTAACCAACCTATCTATACATTGTGATGAATCTGTTGTATCCTGCTCCTCACTTGCTTAGCCCACTCATTGGTAAAATGGGCTACAATACACACTGTCCTTCATCAAAATCATTAATGTAAATTGTACAATAGTTTATACTTAACTGGAAGTGAGCCATTAATGCTGACTGCTTCCTGCTTGCATGGATAAAAAAATTGGCTAACTCACATGCCACCCCAACATTGAGCTCTTTTGTTCAGTAATGTTTTATTTTAAGTGATACTTTGTCATACGCCTTTTGAAATGCAATACATGATGTCTCTTTATTCTGCTTTATCAGCCCTGCTAATAAGTTTGTCAAATATGGTTTCCTTTTCACTAAACCAGGATGCTAATCACAAAATCGCTCACTATTTAATGCTCACAGGAGCATTAATTGGCTGAAAGTGGGTCTTCTGCCCCTTTCTTGGGTGCAATGTCTCTGATTCACCGGATATTTTGTGGTTGCACCAGTGTCAATGGTATTAATGACCAGGATTGGGACTGCAATCAATCGTCTAATTCTGAGCCATGGAGTCTAGTACCTGGCAGGTTCAGAGCCTCTCTGGGAGGAGAGGGGAGCCTCAGCAAAGGGTAGTGAGAGAAGATCCTGGAGTTCTTGATAGCGAGACCAGTTTGGCAGGAAGCACCTCAGTTGGGACACACCTTAAGCAGGCACCCAATGTGGAAGAGGGGATCCAGTTGAGTCAGCAAAACATTTTTGCAGCACAAGAATTGAACAATGTGAATACTAATAACTGTATGCTGTTTTGAATAGTCAGTTATATTACAGGTTTTAACAGTTCAAGGAATTCAGTTAATTATGTGCTAAACTGTACTTAATTTCCTTCTACATTTTATTTGATCTATGCCACCAAGTATACAGTCAGGTACTTAGCAACAGTCTGAGTGCTGTTTCAAAAATTTCTGAGTTGAGATTTCTTGTGCCATCTGCTTATTTATAGCAATTTGTCTCTTCTGATCTCCTCCAACCTTTTCCCTCCGTGTAAACTCATTTCAAATGGGCATCACTAAGGTCTTAAGCACAGCCATCTCAGCTTAGAACTGTCGTGGTTCTGGTGTTCCATTAGGACGAATTTCAAATTCCTGAGCAATAACTATAAAGCAAACAATGGGACCTTGATAATGTGAGATTTGAAAACTAATCCGAGGGGCTGATCAAGCAGCTTCTCGTTAAAACTACAGTCAGTTCTCAATGGTGCCATTGCATTCTAAAGTAGAAGCAATGAAAATCTCCACTTTATTAAATAGGTCACCCCACTGTCTGCTTAGGAGAGCAATTTAAAAGCACAGCTGCTGCGATCCTGGTAGCTGCAGGGTGGATGGATAAATGACAGGCTGTTCTATTGAGGGGAGGGAGCAGGGCAGGGCAGGGCAGGACAGGGGGAGCACCAAGGCTAAAATTGCTCACTGGTTGTGCTCAGTATTCCTGGAAAATTACTTAAAGCTTGCCTTATATTTTGAAGGCTGTGAAAGGCATTTGAGGAAAATGTAGAAATTACACTCACTAGTAAGAGTGAATTAAGACATGAGATACCAAATAATCTAGAATCCAGAAAGAGGCAAAAATATAATTGTGATTAAGTGAAGAGTAAAATATAAAATGAAGGGAACTTGAAAGCACACACACACATGTGTTTGAAAAAGAGTGATTCAGTATATAACTGCTTATTTTATAGCTTTTTTAATAATGGATATAATGGTTGTGAGGAGAGTGGAGCCATTTTATGCTTTCACAGTACAATTGCTATAGTTCAGTAATGCAACATCTTCCTGTAAGACAGTGTAGCCAAGTTTCAGGTTATAGCTGGTTTTCTGTCATAGGCCCGTCCCATCCAATGCTGCAGGACAGGTGCGAGTGTCTTGCACCAGATGGTACAGCTCTACAACCATTTTCTCGATGAGCTGAACCAGATCCAGTCCTGGGGTGATTTGCCAGAATGAGAGGTTATTTAAATACTCAGTGGTGTTTTCTGCGTACAAATTCCCAGTAACTGGGCATTTAAGATGTCCATTCTTCAATCTGAACTTGTGAACTAGTGCATCTTGAACCTGGCCTGCTGTGTTCATCCAGCTGCGCACCTTGTTATCTCCGACTCCAGCGTCGGCAGTTCCTACTATCTCTTGAAGTGAAGCTCTTTGCTTTCTAAAGCATAACACGCATACGTTGGGATACTTGCAATACAGCAGCATTTTGGGTTAACATAGTGTGGAGCTGGAGGAACACAGCAGGCCAGGCAGCATCAGAGGAGCAGGAAAGTTGACGTTTCGGGTCGGGACTCTTCTTCAGAAATTTAATGTTAGGTAGTCACTTGTATAACTTAGACTGACAAAACACATGCCATTTTGTGGTTAGTGGTAAAAGAGGAATAATTTGTGTTACAAGCTAATTTGAAAAGTTTAAATATGACATGTTCTGTATAAATAGGTGGTTCAGCATTTTCAAGTAAACCCACCACACCCACTGGAACAGGAGGATCTTTTCAACCAATGGGCTCACCACAGAAACAATCCCCTCAGCCAGTGGGAGGAAGCTCTTGGCAGCAGAACACAGGATTTGCTTGGCAACAAGGTTCATCTACCTGGCAACAACAGCAAACAAAACCACAACCAACAAAGCCCCAGCAACCAATACCCCAGTCATCTCCACAGAATAGACCAAACTATAACGTCAGTTTTTCTGGTGTGATTGGTAATCGAGATGAACGTGGGCCACGAGGACCTGCATATGGTAAGTATGAATGTTTCTTGTTAACTTTTCTATGTTTGTCTTGTCAAACACTTGAACAGGAGGTGACAGTGGTTGTACCTTTTTAATGATGACATTTCTTTTTTCCTCCCCCCTCCCTTCAGATAATAGCCTGCCTACGATGCCTGGCTGAAATCTAAAGCTTTTGGATAACAGAATCATAAACATGTGTTGAAATTGTTCAATTTGATATTATAGTAACATGTCGCACTATTGTGATAGTCTTCATGATTTCACTTACTGAGCTTCGTAGATTAAAGCATGTTCCTATCTCGTCTGTTTTTTTTTCTCTAGATATGTTTTCTACTGTTTTCCTTTCCTTCATTCCATGAAGTTACCAATTTGAAGGATAAACTACACTCTTCACAGAAGGCACTTTAATGCTAAAAGATGGCAAAGCAAGAGCTATTTCGGATTGCCATTCTTCAACTTCCTGTGCATGTTTTGAGAAAATTTGTTGAGAATAACAGGGCATTTGTCCTTAAACTAAGAAGTTTGACCTAGAAAGACAGAAAGGGGTGATTTATTTATTTATTTATTTATTTGAAAGAAGTTTAGAACAGAATAGTATGTTATCCAATTTTAAGTGGGGTTGGTGGGACTCCAGTGGCAATTGGAGTTGATGCCCTTAGGATCACGAAGGGATCAATCAACAACCATTATTTCTATTTCTGGTTGCTGTCTAGTGGTCTCCTTCTGGAAAGTGCACATGTAGCTTGAGTTAGGAATCAGCTGTGATGTCCTGCTGTCTCCCAGGTTATAGTCTTAACTGTCTAGACTCGCCAGTGAAGAATGAGTTAAGTGGATGGGGGTGGGTTTGCTGAGGTGATGGCCTTTAATGTACCAGAAGGAAACAATATTCCTGCTAGAGTCTGTCTTCAGTGGAAAATGAAAAGGAAGACTAAATTTCAAAGATTTATTGCATCTCTGAATCCAGTAATAGTTGAATTCATTAAACATAGCCTGTGTTGCAGAACAAATAAACTGCTCCATGTCTGATTCTGTACTCTGCAGTAAGACATGCTGTCCAATTTTTGCTTCTGATTATTTGACCACAGGAGCTTAAGGTAGTTGGGGTTCATGTTTTCTGATCAGTAAAAGAATGCATTCAGCTGGAACATTTTATTCCAGCTTTCAATTGTCCAGTGAAGCAGACAAATTCAACATGCTGATTGGAGAAAACACCGATTTTTGTTTTCTGTCAGTCATGTGGAGATGCCAGCTGTTGGACTGGGATGGATAAAGTCAGAAGTCACACGACACCACAGTATAGTCCAACGGGTTTGGGTGGCACGGTGGCTCAGTGGTTAGCACTGCTGCCTCATGCCACCAGGTCTGTCTGAGTGGAGTTTGCATATTCTCCCCGTGTCTGCGTGGTTTTCCGCTGGGTGCTCCAGTTTCCTCCCACAGCCCAAAGATGTGCAAGTTAGGTGGATTGGCCATGCTAAATTGCCCCATAGTGTAAATTAGGTGCATTAGCCAGGAGATCTACAGGGTTACAGGGGATAGAGCAGGGTGATGGGCCTAGGTGCTCTTAGAAGGGTCAGTGTGGACCCATTGGGCCAAATGGCCAGTTTCCACACTCTCTGGATTCTGTGTTGGATTCTATGTTTATTTAAAATCACAAGCATTTTGAGTGCTGCTTCTTAGTCAGGTGAAGTGAAGGGAGACGCACAGGCATGAATATATAGGCGGCGAGATAAAGGCAAGATAATTCCAAGTAAACAGGAGTGTCAACAGATAAGTAGAAATAGTGAGTAGCGTGTTGACAGACTGAATAACAAGTCTTTGTAGATGATCGAGTGTCAGTAGATTGATACAGTGTAAGTAAAGAGTCAACACTGAATAACAAGTGAAGAGATAACCTATGAACTAATTAATTAAGGCAGATAATGACAAATAATCAAAAATAAGATGGTGCTGCATTTGACAAATCAAATGGCAGCCTGTTGACACTCTACTCACACTATATTTCAACTTGTCTGTTGACGCTCTTAATTACCTGGAATTATCACTCCATCTACATATTCTGCGCCCGTCTGCCTCCCTCCACTTCATCTGATGAAGCAGCATCTCTCTGAAAGATTGTGATTTTAAATAAACCTGTTGGACTATAACCTGGTGTCATGTGACTTCTGACTGTGCTTTCTATGTCCACAGAGGCATGGTTGTTGATATTGAGTTCAATATGTCACACCAGGATGTTGCCTTAATTAGAGGCATTTTGAAGGAAGATGCTTGTTCAGATGATTGTCCCCTAGAAATTAACTATTTAAAATTGAATTAACTGTGAATTAAAAGGTAGTGATTATTTGGGTTGAACAACAATTGTTAGTTACTGTAATTTGCAGGAAAACCTTCCAGCCAAATGCTTTGTATCAAACGACTGATTTACCTTTTTTTGTTTTCCTATCCAGCTTGTGCAGTACTTCTGTAATTTATATGTTGATTCTGTATTTACTTCAGGAACTCGACCAAAAGTTGCAGATAGTAACTTTGAGGACTTGCTGTCAAGTCAAGGGTTTGCTTCTCAAAAGGATAAGAAGAGTCCTAAGACAATATCTGAAATGAGAAAGGAGGAGATGTCCAAAGAAATGGATCCAGAGAAATTGAAGGTGAATAAAAGTGGGGAAAATGTAATATTATATGGAATGGCTTTCAAGTCTTTTTGCTCCTGGATATAACGATTTAACAAAGAGATCTTCTACGTTTGTAATCTCAAGTTCTGCAGCTTCCCAGGGCAGATGAACATGGGAACAGGAATAGGCCATTCAGCATATTAGGCCATTCAGCATATAAAGCCTGCTCAGCCAGTTACTTAGATCATGGCTGATCATCTACCTCCATGCCACCTTCCTGCACAATATCCTTATCCCTCAATATCATTAGTCTCCAAAGGTCTACTAATTTTTGATTTAAACATGCTCATTGATTGATTGTGCTTCCATAGGCATCTGGGATAGAGAATTCTAAAGATTGACCACCCTCCTGAGTGAAGAAATTTCTTCTCATCTCAGTAATAAATAACATACCCTTAATCTGAGATTGTCTTTTGATTCAAGGCTCATCAGCCAGAGGAAGCATTCTATCTACATTCACCTTAACATTATTTAAAAATTTTGTACGTTTCAATGAGATCACCATACATTCGTCAAAACCCTTGAGAATACAGACCCAATTTCCTTGATCTCTTCTCAAACAATTCTGGCATCCCAGCAATTAGTGTGGTGAAATTGCATTGCACTCCTTCTATGGCATATGTATCCTTCCTTCAATAACGAGATCAAAATTGCACATAATACTGCAGGTGTTGTCTCACCAAAGCTCTATACAAATGCAGCAAGATCTCTTTACTCCTGTACTCAAACCCTCTTGCAATGAAGCCAGCACAATACTTGCATGGAAAAAGTTAAAAAGCAATAAGAAATGAGAGTAAGCTCACTAGTAATATAAAAGAAGACTGCAAGAGTTTTTAAATATTGAAAAGATAAGAGAGAGAGGCAAAAGTGGACATTGGACGGTTAGAAAATGAGGCTGGAGAAGTAGTAATGGGGAACAAAGAAATGGCAGAGGAACTGAATAAGTACTTTGCATCAGTTTTCACTGTGGAAGAAACTAACAGCATACTAGAATTTCAAGAGAGTCATGGGTCAGAGGTGAGCGTAGAGGTCATCACTAAGAAGGTGATGCTGGGGAAGCTGAAAGGTTTGCAAGTGTTTAAATAGCCCGGAGCAGATGGATGACACTCCAGAGCTCTGAAGGAGATAGCTGATGAGATTATAGAGGCATTGTGGTGATCTTTCAGGAATCACTGGAGTCAGGGAAGGTCCTGGAGGTCTGGAAAAGGGCTACTGTAATACCTCTGCTTAAGAATGGCAGGAGGCAGAAGACTGGAATCTGTAGGCAGTTAGCCTGACCTTGGTGGTTGGTAAGATTTTAGATACTGTAATTAAGGATGAGATTGTGGAGTATTTGGAAGTGCATAATAAAATTGGACTGGGTCAGCACGACTTCATGAAGGGGAGGTCATGCTTGACAAATCTGTTCGGATTCTTTGAGGAGATAATGAGTAAGTTAGATGAAGGAGAGCCTGTGGATGTGATCTATTTGGATTTCCAGAAGGCTTTTGACAAGTTGCTGCACAAGAGGCTGCTAAATAACATGAGAGCCATTGGTTTTGGCTAGAGATGGCATAGGGCTAAGAGGGTCTTTTAACCAGTGACTAGTGGAATTTCATTGGGACTGCAACTATTCATGTTATACATCAACAATCTGGACAAAGGAACTGAGGGCATTGTTGCTAAGTTTGCAGATGACACAAAGATAGGTGGAAGGGCAGGTAGTGTTGAGGAAGGGGGGAATCTTGGATAGGCTCAGAGTGGGTAATGAAGTGGCAGATGGAATACAATGTGGGAAATTGAGAGATTATGCACTTTGGTAGGAAGAGTAGAGGCACAGACTATTTTATAAATTGGGAAAGCTTCAGAAACCTGAAGCACAAAGAGTCTTAGGAGTCCAGGATTTCTCTTAAGGTTAACATAGATGTTCAGTTGGTAGGTAGCAAGGCAAATGCAATGTTAGCATTCATTTCAAGAAGCTAGAATGCAAGAGCAGAAATGTACTACTGAGGCTGCATGGGGCTCTGGTCAGATCACATTGGGGAAAATTGTGAGCAGTTTTAGGCCCTGTGTCTAAGGAAGGATGTGCTGGCAGTGGAGAGGGTTCAGATGAGGTGAACAAGAATGATCCAGGAGATGAAGGGCTTGTCGTGCGTGGAGCGTTTGAGGATTCTGGGTCTGTACTCAATGGAGTTTATAAGGATGAGGGGGATCTGATTTAAACTTACAGTATTCTGTAAGTTTATACAGAATACAGAGGCCTGGACAGACTGGACGTGGAGAAGCTATTTCCACTAATAGAAGAGACTGGGACCCAAAGGTACAGCCTCAGAGTAAAGGGACAACACCTTAGAACTGAGATGAGGGGGAATTTCTTCAGCCAAAGTTTGGTTGATCTGTGGAACTCATTGTCTCAGAAGGCTGTGGAGGCCAAGTCATTGAGTGCATTGATAACAGATTGGTTCTTTATTTGTAAAGGGATCAAGGGTTATGGGGAGAAAGCAGGAGAATGGGGTTGGGAAGCATTTTTTTTTCATGAGATGAGGGTCACTGGCCAGGCTAGCATTTATTATCCATCCCTAATTGCCCAGAGGGCAGTTATGAGTCAACCACATTGCTGTGGGTCTGGAGTCACATGTAGGCCAGACCAGGTAAGAGTGGCAGTTTCCTTCCTTAAAGGGCATGAGTGAAGCAGATGGGTTTTTCCCGACAATCGGCAATGGATTCTTGGTCATCGTTAGACTCTTAATTTCAGATATTTATTGAATTCAAATTCCACCATCTGTCATGGTGGGATTCGAACCCAGGCCCCCAGAACATTACCTGGCTCTCCTGGATTAACAGTCCAGCAAGAATACATCTAGGTGATTGCCTCCCTGTAATTGATTGGTGGAGCAGACTTGATGGGCCGAATAGTCTATTTCGGCTTCTATGTCGTATATAACAAACCACTGACATCAGACTAACTGGTTTGTAGTTCTCCATCTCCCTTTCTTAAAAAAAAAAAAAGTGTGGTTCTCCTTTTTTGTTTTTAAAATAGTGTGGCTATAATATGTTACTTTGTAGTCTGCATGAACCTTTCCAGAACTGATTAGAATTTTGGAAGATGGTCATCAATGTATCCGTTATGCTTATAGGCAACTCCATCAACACTCTGGGGTGTAGCTCCTGTTGTTCACGGAGATTTATCGCCCTTCAATCCAGTTACCATTTCGAGAACTACCTCTTTACTAACATTGATTTCTTTCAGTCCCTCAGTTTCACAAGTCCCTTGGTTGCCTAGTATTTCTGGGAGATCTTCTTATATCATGTTATGTGAAGAGTGACACAAAGTAATTATTTCATTTCTCTGCCATTTCCCTGTTCTTCCTTATAATTTCACTTGCCTCCACTTTTAATCAGCCTCTGTTTGTCCTAGATACATACCAAAATAAACTTTTACAGTTTGCCTTTATGCTTCTCACTAGTTTGAATTCCTGTTCCCTTTTTCTGCCTTTTTCTGGAATTTCTGATAGCTGCTCAGCTATCCTCCAACCCTTATCTACGGAGTGTGACCAGACGGAGATCTTCAGTGTGTTTTAAAACAGCCTTCATTACTTGCTGTAGCAAGAGCCCAGGATGTCAAACCATGACACACTGGAGGCTCAGGACAAAGGATTACAGAGTCAGTTATAAGAAAGTAGCATGTGCCAATTAAAAGGTGTACAGTTATCTAAATCTAATTAGTACCGTAATTTAGGGTTACAGCATGCACACAACTAACCAATTACAAAATGGGTATGCCTATCTAATTGTAACATGCAAATGGTATTAAAGCATATACATACAACCAAATTTTAATTTTAATTTGTACTTAACAGGTCAATTTGTGTCTGACTTGTGTACATGGTTATCCACCTTTGTGCCCTGGTATTTTTAATGGGTTCTTGCATGAAGTTGGTTGAATAAATTACCCTTTTGTGGAGATATGATTATCACTTAATTGCCATCATACAGACAGTTTGACACGAGCAATGGCAGGGAAATCCAACATATCTTCCCATGGTTTACCATCAATCCCATATTGTTATAGTCATTGAGGGTTAACATCTACAGTGGTGTTCCTTCTTGGAAACTGGCAACTTGCAGTTTAGGGTCCTTGTGTACCTATTCATAGTTACCAACTTACACCTCACAACTGTGTGCCGTAAATATAACTCTGCAAGGTTCTTTTTAACTTTTTCTCTCAGTTTCTTGGTCATCCTTTGCTAGATTTTAAATTTACTTCTAATCCTTGGGCTGACCACTTTTTTGACCTTTTATAGAGGCCTTAGAATCTCCTTGAATCCAACCTTTAGCTTCCTTTGTTAGCTACCATTAATTTGCCATTCCCATTGGGTGTTTGTGCCTTAGAGAAAACTATATCCATTGTAGGCCATAAGTTTTTCTCTAAGTGCTAGCTATTGTGTATCAAACCCCAAACATTTTGGTATATTTTCCCAATCCATCACAGCCAGCTTGCCCTGATAACTTCGTTGCTTTCCTTATTCAGATTTAAAACCCTAGTTTCAGAATGAACTATATCACATTCAAACTTGATGTAGAATTCTAATAATTGCTATTTCCCAAAAGATCCTTTAGAGCAGATTTATTATTTAACCATTTCTCATTACATACTATGAAATTTTAAAATAGCCCATTCTCTAGTTGGCTCTTCAACACACTGCTTCAAAAACCTATCCAGTACGCACTCTAGAAATTCATTCCCTGTTGATTTAGTGCTAATTTGGTTTTTCTAATCTATATGGAAGTTGAAATTCCCCATCTTTACTCTTTTGCCCATGTTACATGCATCTCGAATTTCCAGATTTATGCCAACATTACCAGTTACATTTGGTCACTAAACAAGCCCCACCAATGTTTGTTGCACCATGCTGTTTCTTAGCACCACCCAAACTGATTCTGCATCCAGTGATCCTAGACCCTCCACAAATACATTGATCTCTCAGTTTATTAAGAGCATGACACTGCCTCTTTTGCCTATTCAGGCTTCAAACAATACAATACAGAAACTGGGCACGAACAGCTGAATCACCATTATTTGAGTTAATTGCACAGTGTGATGGGATGACTAGCAAGAAAAACATAGTCTCTGAATGTCAAACTTAGATGTATGACAATGCAGAATTCTAAAAGACTTGTTTACTTGGGAATAGTACCTTTGTGAATTGAATAACCATCTCTGTAGAGAGAGCTTTAAATTAAATAATGGGAGTGAGGGAAATTTTTTAAAAAAATAGAAAGGACAAGGTTTTGGAGTAGATCTGTAGCTCGGGTCGTGGGTGTTGAGGTTGGTTGGCTCGCCGAGCTGGTTTGTTGTTCCGCAGACGTTTCGTTACCGTGCTTGGTAACATCCTCAGTGCAGCCTCTGATGAAGCGTCAGTGTGTTTTCCCGCCTGGTTTTTAAACTCTGGGGTCCGTTGCGATAGATTCCACTACGGAGGAAACCCGGAAGTGAGGCAATGTATATGGGGTCGAGTTCCATGTGTTTATTAATAGCCTGCTTCGTGGAGTGCCATGCTTCCAGGAATTCTCGTGCTTGTCTCTGCCTAGCCTGTCCTAGGATCTTGGTGTTGTCCCAGTCGAAGTGGTGGTTCTCCTTGTCTATGTGGATTGAGATGAGTGAGTATTGGTCGTGTTTTTTTTTTTGTAGCCAGTTGGTGTTCATGTACTCTTGTTGTTAGTTTCCTTCCTGTTTGTCCGATTGTAGCGTTGTTTGTAATGGGAGTTGTTTGTTCTTTTCCTCCTCTCTGGTGAATTTTATTCCGGTAAGGGTGGTGGTTATGAGCTTGTGTGTCTCTTCTAATTTGGTCTGTTTAATGATGACAAAGGTGTCGTCTACGTAGCGTATCCATAGTTTAAGTTGGATTTGCAGAAGAACAAACAACTCCCATTCCTGGACGTCATGGTAGAGTGCAAGACAAATGGGGAACTGCAAACGAAAGTACACCGAAAAGCCACACACACAGACCAGGTATTGAACTTCAATAGTAACCATCCCAGCACACACAAACGAAGCTGCGTGCGAACACTAAAAGGGCAACAGCACACTGCAGCAACACGGAATTACGCCAAGAGGAAGAAGAATATCTCTTCCAAGTGTTCAAGGATAATGGATATCCAAAGAACTGGGTCAGGAGATGCCTACAGAAACAGCATCAGAAAGATTCTACATGCCCTGACACACTCATCACACTACCCTACAACAGGAACACGTCAGAACTCACCACAAGACTCCTACGACCGCTGGGCATCAGAGTGGCACACAAGCCCACATCAACCCTATGACAAGTGCTCACCCGAACTAAAGACCCACTCTCCGCCATGGACAGGACTGATGTCATCTACAAGATCCCATGCAGAGACTGCGAGAAACACTACATCGGACAAACAGGAAGGAAACTAACAACAAGAGTACATGAACACCAACTGGCTACAAAGACATGACCAATACTCACTCGTCTCAATCCACATGGGACAAGGAGAACCACCACTTCGACTGGGACAACACCAAGATCCTGGGACAGGCTAGGCAGAGACAAGCACGAGAATTCCTGTAGCATGGCACTCCACAAAGCATGCTATTAATAAACACATTGAATTCGACCCCATATACATTCCACTACGGAGGAAACCCGGAAGTGAGGCAATCCATCGCAATGGACCCCAGGGTTTAAAAACCAGGCGGGAAAACACACTGACGCTTCATCAGAGGCTGCACTGAGGATGTTACCAAGCACGGTAACGAAACGTCTGCAGAACAACAAACCAGCTCGGCAAGCCAACCAACCTCAAGAAAGGACAAGGCAATAGTGAATAATAGCAATATGGTTGTTAATAGCTAGAGTATGACAGGAAGGCACAGAGTATACAAACATAAGATCACACCAACAAATAGGGTCATAGTAGTGAAAAATGATAAAAAGACAATTTAATTATCAGAGTGCATGCAGCATTTGTAAAATGGATGGTTTGATAGCACAAATGAAAATAAATAACTGGCCATTAGAGAGACATGATTGTAAAATGATCAAGACTGGTAATTGAATATTCAGTGCTACTTAACATTCTGGAAGTATGGGAACAGAAAGGAGGCAGGATAGTGTTGATGACAAAGGATGAGACCAATACTTTCATAACAAATTATTTTGGCTTGGAAGATCAAGATGTGGAATCAATTTGCATGGCGATAAGAAATAGAAAGGCAAATAAATCACTGGTGGGAGCAGTTTGTCGACTTTCTAACAGTACCTGTGCTGTAGGATTGAGTAGAAATCAAGACCTAATTGGGGCTTGTAGAGAGAAACTGCTGTAATTGTGGGCAATTTTGATAATCTTGGAATTGGACAAGTTAAATTGGCAAAAGGAACCTTGAGGATGAATTCACAGAATGTAGTTGGGACAGCTTTTCAGATCAATATGTTTTGGAATCAAACCAGGGAACAGGTATTTTAGAAGTGGTAACATAATTAGACAGAATTAATTCATGATTCTTACAGTAAACATTGTATTGGTAAGAATAAACGTATCATAATGGAATTCCACATTCGGCTTGAGGGTGTGATGCTGGGGTCTGAAACTGTCTTCAGCTTAAATAAAAACAATTACAAAGATAAAAAGACTGACTTGTCTGAATTAGAATGGGAAAATTGGCTGAAATGTAAAATAGTTAAAAAAAAGCATCCTTTTCAAGCAATCAATTTACTTTGCCAATGATCAGATGAGGAAGTTTGTGACTCAACTTCAGAGTCTTAAAGGTCTATGAAGAAAACGTTGATTTCCCTACCCTTATTGCATCTTAACTAAATGGTATCTTCCAGAACACTAAGTATTCAGTATTTTTAATTTGAGCCCTGCATTTGGCTCCATTATGATGGGAACAATGTTAAGGAATGAGCAGCACAAAACAGAGCAACTGAATCTTAGCTGATCAAGACAAATCTAGCAAACTTTAATTTTTGATTTCAAGCCAAGACTGAACAGAGAAATATCTTGTCAAAGAAATGTATCAAGATCCAATTAAAAGGTCAGGTAATGTACAGCATCTTTTCTGAAAATCTTAAGAAATATATCATGCAAGTAAGAAAATAGCTTACTATAGCCAGGTTTTCAAAGAATTATGATGTTCCTTTTATTTTAATGCCAATTAGGACTAATGCAAATAATAGATGAAATAGTAGGTGAATGATACTTCAAATAAGGTAAATTTTCTTCTAAGTAATCAATGCAATAAAATGCATCTTACAAAACCACCAGCATTTCCCTTTAGCATGCATGCCATTAATTAGTCAGACTGTTCCACAATATGCTTTTCTTTATTCACGTGGTGTAGGTCAGAAATCCTATCCAACAACCGTTTTCTTCCTGTTTTTGTGGGTATGATTATCATTAGCAGAAACAGTTTTACTAAATCATCTTCTCCCTTGGTGACAACAGTTCTGTTGATGTATCTTTCCAGTGTTCCTTCCCAACTGACCACCCAATAACGTCTCTGTTGATGGTTTGTCCCTGCTCGTAAAACATTTGAGTTATTGATGTGGCTTTCCATGTTTTACAGCTTTTTACCTAGCTTGTGGACTACTTCTTCTATGCTCCTGTTCCCTTTTTTTGCTGAACATAAAGAAACCTCTTTCTCGGGGAGATTTAGAGGAATTCTGTATTCATTTTTCTCTGTCTTGTTTGTCTCGATCTGAACTCTGATCAGCTTCTTTCTCTAACTCCTTTTTGTGTTTGGCACACTGCTTCCATGTTTTCGTAACTTCCTCCTTGATGCTACCAGCTCAAAGTTTGCCAGGTCACATGGATTAGTAATTGTTATTGTCCAAGACCAGAACAGTTGATTCCTTTACACTCCTTTGTGCACATTCTGAAAAGTCTGTGGAATTGGAAATATTCTTGAAAGAAATTAGAAATTTTTGTTGCAGTGCTACATCTGGGTTCGCAGCTGGTGCTCTATTAAAATGTGTTTGTGGAATCTCAGACATTTCCTAGCATGACCACAGCAGAAAACTGCTTATTAATTGACATTTCACCCAAATGATATCTGACTTAAGTGGAAAATGTTGTAAAGTTAATACATAACCGAAATGGAATGCTTTTGATGAAAAAAAGTTACTATTCTTCACCTGACTTGTGTAACACCTAAACAAGGTATATGAGATATTGATACTCTGCAATAAGAATGATAAGTATTCTCATCCCCAATATAAATATGCCTGCCTTTGAGTAAAAATTCACAACTGATTTATTTTTGTGAGTTGATTGTGGATGAAGTTTCAAACGTATTTGAAATTTTGTGCAGAATTCACAACTGAAAGGCTTTCACTGCAATATCTTATGCTCAAAATTAAAAATCACATTCTAACAGATCGGGTAATGGATGTGGAAAGAAAAACAAAGTTAACACTTAAAGTTTATCAATCTGAAAGATGAACTCTGGCCTCTCTACATAAGCCTCCTGCCCTGAGTAGTTCCAGGATTTTCTGATTTCTTGATTTCAAACCTCCAGTATCTAAATTTTGCTTTTGTTATTGATTGTTCTCTTGGTATTGATCAAGCTAAGATTATGTATTTTGATCATTTCAGTTATTGGATTGGATTGAAGGGAAAGAAAGAAATATACGGGCGTTACTGTCAACAATGCATACTGTTTTGTGGGAAGGGGAGACCAAATGGAAGCCTGTCGGCATGGCAGACCTGGTAACTCCTGAACAGGTGAAAAAAGTCTATCGGAAGGCAGTACTCGTTGTACATCCTGATAAAGTAAGTTTCTTTCTTTTTAAGTGGTGTTGTGCTTGTATTTGTGATCACTCCACAGTGTATTTGAATTGTTATTGTTTGGGAACCAAATTGACTGGATTTAATACTTGCTTTTCATCCGAAAATGGATCAATCCTGAATGTTGAAATGCAGCATCTTGCGTTGGACAATTTGTCCTCACCCAATTAATGCCTCATCTGAAATGTTATGACCCATTTCTGAGAGACACCAACATTATTCTTCCAAAATAAATTGATTAGTGGTGAATTTGACTGGTACAAGAAATGGAATAACAACTGTGGTGTAAGTAAGCAGGGATTTTAATTTTCATGTTGAAGCCAATGATGATGAGAGCACATTTATTTGCCATTCTTGGTTACCCTGACTGTGTGGGTTTGGGAGAGTGCCTTATTGAATCATTGTTATCCTATTGCGATAAGTAAAAAATTCCAGGATGCTGATACAGTTACTTTTTAAGGAGGACAAGATACATAAAGATTGGGATAGTGAGTTGGAGGGGTATTTATGTAATAGTATTTCCACAGCTTTGTTGCCCCCTCAGGCTGAGAACACAATGAAGTCATAGTGCAACTTGATGGTGTTTCTTGATTCAAGTCATAGAATCATTGGCCAAGTGAACTTTTCTATTCTCTTGTGTGTTGTGGCTGCATTCATACAAACATCCTCTCAGCATTCACTCTGTTAATCCCCTTAAGAATCCTACATGTTTCAATGAGATCACCTGTCACTCTTCTAAACACTAGTGAGTAGAGTCCTAAATAAAAACCAAAAGAACTGCGGATGCTGTAAATCAGGAACAAAAAAAAAGTTGCTGGAAAAGCTCAGCAGGTCTGGCAGCATCTGTGAAGCAGAAAACAGACCCGAAACGTTAACTCTGTTTTCTCCTTCACAGATGCTGCCAGATCTGCTGAGCTTTTCTAGCAACTTTTTTTTTGTTCCTGAGTAGAGTCCTGACTTGTTTAGCCCTTGCTCGTAAGACCATCCATCCATACTGGGGATTATCCTAGTGAAACTTCTCTGAAATGTCTCCAACAAATTGAAATATTTTCTTAAATATGACTGTTATGGATTAAATTGTCAGGATTTGTTGGCCTTGTATAGTCCCAGTGTCACAAGTTATACATCCATGCAATGTAATGTTTCCAGTTAAGGATGTCACTAAAGGTTTGAAGGAGATTACAAGCAATAGTGTGTGTAAATACTTATCCATGAGAGAACTAATGCTGAATGCCTAAACTGTAAAAGTTTTTTTATTTAGGTACGCCTTATCTTAAATAAAAAGTCAACAAAAATGATTGGTCATTTGTAAAATATTAAAAGCTGCGAAGTTGGTTAGAGTACTTGTGGATTGAGAGGCAGGAAATTAGAATTTGGTGTTTGTAAAATGCGAGGGAGGAAAGCATTGCATGGTTTCTTTGAAAGATGCTGTGCTTTTTCGATGCTTAGATATTTGAAATAATGTCTGTGAGCAGCAGGTTGAAAGTTTGCAAATACAGAGAGGACCCAAATTGAAACATTTGTATCAAAAAGCTACAGAGTTAGCAGGCAAAGCAGCAGTTTTTACCAAGACAGCAAGTTTTGAATTTAGCCAATCAATTTGAATCAGGTGCTTCGATTCTTAAAACCAATTGAATTTAATTGGTTGGTTTTGACAACATAGGACCAAACCTAGTGTAAGAAATTGATATGTCATCAAGGGTATAAAATAAGAGGGCACTTTGACAAATTTAGGAGCGCTAACTGCCAACCGCCAGAGTTAATAGCCCTCAGCTCTTCAGAGAATCTCTGGCTTTCGCAGCCTACTCTGACTTAGAGAGAGCACCATCTAAAGAACAAAGGTACCCATGGTACAATTAGTGATTAAACCTGACAGAAGAATCAGTGGAGAAGGCACAGAACATTCAGGAAGATATGTAACTTGGCTGTAATTTTGAGAGACTAAATTCTATTTTTATTTTATACAAGTGGGACTTGTATTTATTGGAACAGCATACTATTAGAATCTTGTTTTATGTGGGAATAGTTAGGAAGGGGTTTATTCGGTTTGTTATTAGTGTAGTTAATATGCTCAATGCTAGAGTTAGATATATAAATTTTGTTACTTGTTGATTGTAAAGCGAGTGTCAGGGATTTATTTTATTTAACCACTAGAAGTTGCTGAAAGGCAGGATACACCACTTCTCACTCCTTTTACAGGTTATAGGGTGAGATGTTTTGGTTTTAGTTCTTGGGGGCGGTGGAGGGAAAGGTCATCAACCTCCACGTTATAACACTCATGGAGTGGAATGAAGCTAATGATTATTCTGTAGCACTAATTTAGAGATCTACAGCTCCAACAGCACAGGGATTTAGGTCTTCTAATTTGGGCGTAGAAAGTTTTGAGGGTAATTGGTCAGTTATTTGCCTGAATCTCTTCATTGTCTTTCAAAAAACACAATGAGGCATTATCTCATGAATTCGACCATCAAGATCTGTATGAAGAAAATTGAAAGAATAGCAATCGAAATTAATACTTTTCATTTTTTTTAAAATGGCTGTTCAATTGATAATATGAAGCAGTTGAACAATTTAATCATTTTGAATAAACTAAGGACCTAATTGCATAAATTCCCATAATCCCTACTGGTTATAAACTGAAAACCATAGTTACCTTTTCTGTCTGACTTATTTTACAGAATTAACTAAATTTCATACACACTCACATGATGGGTGTAAGTTTTGGCACATTAAATATTGCCCTGCACAGAGATGCATAACTATATTATTTGGAGAATTTGAAGTAATGATTTGTGATTGTGATCTCTAAATGCTGGAGATGTCAGCAGGAGATCTGACATCCTGTTTAATATTGAGTGTTAAAATGTCAGTTAGCTGATCTCAGCTGAGGCACTGATTGAAATGATGAAAGGGGAAATGTCTGCCATGATTACCAATCCTGATTGCTGTTAAGTGACCCTACCCTTACATAAAGGGCTATCGGAAGGGAGTAATGCTTCCGCTTTGCAGAGTGAGACTAGAAGGATGCCAATTCCTGTATGACTACACAATTGCAAAAATTAACTTGTAGGAGAAAAGGGGAAAAATTTGGGAACATTTTCCTAAAGCAACATTGCTGTATATCTGTTGGAAAGTGAATTATTTCCATTTTTTCATGACAGAATTTATCCTTGGGAAACCCTGAGTTTATACTTTAAGTATTATGTTAAAGGCATTTCTCATTACATACTGCTAATAAAAAAAATCTGAAGTAATGTGATACTATAACTCTTCTCAAACAATACTAGTAGCACAGAACCTACTCTTCCAATAATTTTCTGCAGTATCTTCCCTTTTATATCAACCATGTGTATGCTGTGCTGCTAAATCCAGCAGGATAATAAGAAATTAGGAACTTGATGTGTTTTTGTATTCCTCTTTTGTTTTTAGCATCTGGTTTATTTTATCTTTCAAGATCAAATATAGTGAGTTATCCTCTTCCTGCTATGGTCACATCACAGCCACCAGAGATGACAGCCACATGATCAGTGAACTATAGATTAATGTAGTTTGTGTAGCCCCCTTTTTTAATTTGTAGTGGTTCAAGTTAAAACTGAACAATCAAGCTCTTGTTTAATCAGCTGGAAATTTAGTATATTACAAGTTATTACTCCAGGTTCCTTGGGGATAAGGAGAGAAAGTTATGAACAAAACATTACAAACACAACTTTTGAAAGTAAAAAGAGAATACTTTTAATAAAGCCATAGTAATTCTCCATGGTAAACTATTAGGTGTGTTGTTTGGAATTTCTTGTCATTGAAGCAGAGAGGTTAACACTTGAGGTCAGATCAAACAGCTGCAATGGTAGTGGTTTCTTGTACAGACACACTCCTCAGAACAGTGGATTCTGGGAAAGTGAAGATTCCTGGCTTCTGTTTTTGCAGATATGGCACTTTTAATTTTAGGGCAGAGCACTAAATATTTTAACACGTCTGTCTGTTATTTGATCTCTTTGCTTGCCTGGAGAAGTGCTTTCTTCCCAGATGGTTCAAGATGGACTTTTTTTTTGTTCCCTACTTGATCAACTCTGAGTTCTGCACAGTCACTGTTCTTAGTCAAATTTCTTTGTATAGTTTAAAATCTCAAAATGGTGGTTTGTTAACTTTGAGAAATCAGAAGTTCCACAAAGCAAATAATTGAATTATTTGCTGAGTCCTTTTTTAATCATCTTCCTCCAGTCTGCTGTTTTCTATGAAGCTCAAATTTTCACATCTCCATTTGTCTGTTTGGATGTTCTTGACATTTTATGGGTCTCATGGGCATGTCTATTTAATGATCCATTTAAGCTTATAGTTGTTTCATGAGTTGACTTGTAGCAGCCATGCTTTTAGCCAGTTGTGTCTGCTTAGAGTGAGGTTTTTGACTGTTTAAAACAAAACCTAATCTATAATCTCGTAACTACTGTGTTCATGATAATCAGTTAAGATAACAACAGGTTTTCAAACCTGCGATCTTTCTCGTGAATTTCGCATACCACTGCAGACCGACTACAAGTTTATCTTGGTTATAGCTCATAGTCCTTTTTAAGCTTCAACTAAAACATAGTTCTGAATACTTGAAGAAAAGGATCTAGTTGTAATTTCAGGCAGGTGTTGAGCACTGTAGCTCCTATGTGAATGAAGAGCAGCCTACACCTTGCTGTCTTTACCTATCTGTCACTGATTGCCAGCACAAGTTTTCACTGCAACTGTTGTAGGATCTACAGCAATTTTGAAAACCATTGTTCTTGACTTTAGGTGTTTAATTTTCGGGAACACTTTTTTTTCTTAAATATTTTTCAGCTCTTCTACACTCCAAGTCCTGATGTATGCTGCCATAAACGATGGTGCTGTATGTAGTGATTGGAACAAGGTTGGCTCGGTGGATCTCATTGAGTATGAGATCCCTGGTTGGGGTTGTTTCTGGGTCAGTTAGGGAGCCCTGGCTGATTGACAGATATAAACAGGAGTAACAGGGATTCTCCTCACTTTAGGGGCTGGATTTGAGTTAGCTGGTCAGTGTCCATGTACTGTGCTCGTGTAACTAAAGGGTGACTTGGTAACGGCATACTGGCGTCTTGTGCATTTATTTCACTGTAGAAGCACATTACATAACAGTACCGCCGGGTGAAGAGGAGCAGATCTTCTCTTTAGCCTTTGCAATTACTTTGTCTCTTCGGGTAAATTGTGCCAAGTGAGTTTTGATTGCCTTATGCTTGAAACAAAATAGCTCTGTTTTGGAATTGAAGGCTTTTGAAGTTGTTTATCTTTTGGCCAAAGTGATCATTGGCTGTTGTACAGTACAAAGCTAGGTCAGGGCAGATGAGGTGGATGTGCCCTTTACAGCATGGCAGATTACACTTTTTTCAATGTACCTTATGCTCAGAATTTGAGGTAGGGCTAGTGTCCAGGCTTGTGTGAAAAATGAGGTTCTGCTGCACCACTCTTCCACCAATGGACTGTTTTTCTCCCCACAGAATTTCAAGCCTTTTAATGTCTTAGAATGACATTTGGTGTATTGGAGAGGTTTGGGAAAGAATAACCAAGAAGATGCAAGGACCTGGTTGTCATGTTAATGATAATGGTCTTAATCAATTCCTCATCAGGGGTTGATCAGCTCCAAGGGCTAGTTTACTTCAAACAGTAAAGTGCATTACAAGTTGTGAAGCAGACATTACAGAAGACCAACTGATGTTATTACTGGACAAGTCAGATCCCAGGCTGAAATCTGGCTTGATAGATCATTTTTAAAAACATGACGGTCTTTCACTAACACACAATGCTGCAGATTTGGTTTTAACAATAAAACAGAAGTTTATAATGTAAGGACAGAACGTGACATTAAAAGACAAGCTATTTCTGCGTAACATAATTTGAAACGTTTCAAAATACACAATCCAATCTATCCCAACACCATCATGTTACAGTACTCGAACATCAGAGAGCTCACTTTTTGTATCACATCCATAAGTTTAACTTAACTGTTTATTTTAATTGCCATCTTGACAGTCTGGTAGGCTCTTCCTTGACTAATCACGTAACTGAGTTTAGATTTTCTCCAGTGCAAATAACCCCTTCAGGGTTCTAAGCAAACACTGCTGGTTTGGAACTTTCAAGCTCATACCTTTTGCACTGAAGTAACCTATTTACTAATAGTTTTAAACTATCATCTTTCAGGAGAAACTGTTTCACACATCTAACTTCTGCCAAGATGTCTGAACTGGGTGGGGTGAGAGCTTTCCAAGCTATGGGATTGTCCCCAAAACAAAATAAAAATTCTGATACTTCTAAACAGAAAGCAAGTTAATGCTCGTCAATGTTTAATCTGTTTGTAAAACTCTCCCAATCTCTTTTTTTTTTTTAAAAAAAACCCTCTGGCTCCAGAAATACTGACAAGTTAATCATTAAATGCCATCGAGGACACAAATCAAAACCCACATTCCACTTACTCAAAATCCAAACTTTAAATCATATTGAAATACATATAAATCACACATCTCGGATCACAATGTGCAGCTTGCAAATCCATAGCAGACTAACTGGTAAGCAGAGTTACAACATTATATGCATTGAACAGATGAAGTCCTTAAAGGTGAACTCTCTTAAAGGCAATGTACAATATAACACTAGGTCTCTCCTCATTTGGCCAGTGCCCACAGAAGTTCGAGGCCTATATGACGCAAGTGTTGAGAATGCCGAGTGCTATAGATATGGATATATCGTACTTGTTATAGTTTTGTTATCTTACTGTTCCATATGTTTTTTGTACAATACAATTAGATTCATACCAAAAGAACAATCGTGCCTATGAATAAGTACATTTCTCTACAAATAAATTTTCTTTTCCCAGCTACCATCATACATCTATATTATACTATATTTGAATTGTAATTTGCATGTTGGAAAACAACTGGATCTTTTTAGACTTGTCCAGTGCTAATCCCTAAAGTTGCAAACAAGAATCATTATGGGAAAATAGGCATCACTAGCAAGGCTGGTACTTATTTCAATTTTTTTTTGTTCTTAAGGTGTTGATAAATAATCTTAAACTGGTGCAATGTGGAGTTACTTCTGCATTTTTCGAATGGGAGTTCCAGTACCTTAGTCCCAGTGACCATTGTATATATTACAAAGATTAGATTGACATTAAAAATTCAGATCCATTATAATCATTTTGTAATGTTTGATAACCTGTGAATTTAAAAATTTTTATTTTAAAAGGATTTGCTTCTGTAAAGAACTATATTACCATAAATGATGTGTAATAAATAGTTACCATCATTAATTTACCTCCAGTCTCCATGTTCTGCAGTAAATTCTTAAATGTTTATCATTATGTAAAATAACTGGACAAAGATCTGTTCCTGAATGGAATTGAAAGATGTTGGTCCAAGTGTTAATAAAGCATACAGCATCCTAGTCTTTATTAATAAGATTAATAAGGCATACAGCAAGGACATTATGATAAAATTGTACAGAATACTTGTTCCACCTCAACTGGAGTATTACATTCAGTTCTGGGCACTGACAGTAGGAAAGATTTGAAGCCACTTGAAATGCTGCAGAAAAGATGCATGAAAAGTTTCTCTGGGATTAGGATCTTCAGTTACATAGATAATTTGGGAATATTTCCTGGAGAAGCAAAGATTGAGAGAAAATTTGATGATTTTGAATACCTGTAAGAAATCTCCAGAAGCAAATGGGCGAGAGGTTTTTAAGAAGTTTTCATTGGTGGAAGGATGCAGAATATGAGGCCATCGATTTTAACATAATTAGCAAAAGACACAATAGCAACATGAGGGGGGAAAAACGTTTAGTGATTGGCTAGGATCTGAAATACACAACCCGAGAGTATGGTGGAGGCAGGTTTAATTGAGGCATCCAAAGAGTAATTGGATTGCACATGAACTAATAAGCAGCTCTGGAGAGTTGGCATGGACAACATGGGCTTAAATAGCCTCCTGTTTTGCGACAAATGAATTGACTTAGCTTTATTGTCACATGCTGTCGAATGAGTGCAGTGAAAAGTTTGCAATGCTGCTGCTTATGATACCATCTTAGTTGCAAGATTCCTAGGTACAGATACTTAAGTATTTGGTACAAAATTGAAAGAATAATAAATAAAAGTCCAGCGTAGTGAATCTGTGAAATCACTGATGTGATTAAGCATGCAATGGAAACATAAGTTTGTCATAGCACCTCTTTACATCTTTTAAATTTCCCCAAATGCATCAAAGAATTATGATACAGCTGCCATCATTAAAATAAAGGAAATGCAAGTACAAATTAATATTGTGAAGTCGTGCTGTGTTATCCTGTTGGGTGTGGTTGTGCTAAATGTAAATTGAAATATTGCCTCTCATCAGATTAGGTAGACAGTATTCGAGTCCTGAAGAAGTCCTATTAGGTTTGCAATGTTGAATTTTGTTTCTCTCTCAACAGATGTTCCAGACCTGTTGCGTTTCTCCTGCACTTTATGGATGGTGGAGATCTAAAATAAAATGTATCTTAGTTTTAATGTAGTATTTGAGCAGACACCATGATAAAATAGATAAAGTGGCATTATTAATCAAAGGACCTGGCTTGATTGAGCAATGATGTCCTTTTCTCATCCCATATTTTGTTTACAATATTTGAAGTCATTGTTTACACTTTTGCCTATTTTAATTTCATGTGTAGCTCTCGGCATCAGTTATTCATCTTGTGTTGAATTTGTTGCAAACAAAATCGGAGTATTGCTGGTGATTACCCAGTTATAATTTTTTTTCTCAATATAATTTTATATACTCTTCCCTACAGGCCACTGGTCAGCCATATGAACAATATGCCAAGATGATATTCATGGAATTGAATGATGCCTGGTCAGAATTTGAAAGTCAAGGTCAAAAGCCTCTGTACTAATTTAACGTAAACTACTTGCTTGTATTTCCAGGTGACTCTGTACCTATGCTAAATGTACTTTCTTTTGCTTTATTGTTGATGTACTTTGTTTATCACCTGTAAACTTGTATGCAGGCACTCATTTATCACATTAATTGTTTAAATGGCAGTCTCAACTTAAGAACTCTGTTTTATTTATCTGTTTACCCTTTCACGTGAGGTTTTGGTAAGATTACATTGAAAACAGAAAAGAAAACATGAGTATCTTTTGAGATAAAGGTGACATTTGGCCCTTACTTTGTGATTTTGATTGCAATGCACACTGCCTAAATCTTATCTCTATGCATATCTCTTCATTCTGTTCTGAAATATGTTTTGTGATTTTTGTCACATTACAGCTGTACAATTTTCATTTGAAGTTGATAGTTTAATTAAGATTGTTACTAATTGCTGGACAATGTAACATCATTGAGTCTCCATCAAAACATAGACATTTATGACAAGCTTTACAATATCATTGATAAAATCATCTCCCGATAATCAGTATTACTCACTAGCAACTTCGGTCACCATCTAGTTTGAGGGCCACTCGAGATTGTTGCAATATGCTGCATTGTGAAGTAAGGTGGTGTGACTCTGTTTCCCACAAGTCCTAATGCTATAATGAACAATTGCCAAGTGTACGAACACATGCAGCATCACGAACAAAAGCAAATCATACAGGACGAATAGTTGTACTTGTAGATTGTCATGAAATCTTTTCCTCTGCTGCACAGAGGCTGAAGCAACCAGTAATGTTTCACTGGTTTATTTTGCTGAATTGGAGAACTGCACTGATTCTCTGGAAGATCAACAACCCTCAAACTGGAGGCTGTGAACGAAGACGGAGATGTATTGAACAAGAAGTCTTTGGAAGATGTCTGCAAATGGACATTGGGCTGTTTTATGATCACTCTTTTGTGTAGAAGGTAAACTGTTTCCTTCAGACAGTTTCTCGTGTTTAGTTTAATAGAAAATTTAAGATGTTAACTTGAGAATTATTCCCAATATTTTATTTAAAAGATGTCATTTTGTTCATATGTACCATATATGATTTGAATATTCCATTTTTAACATCTTTCTTTACTCTGCAGTCTGTGATACTACAGAAAAGTTAAACTATTTATTGTCCTTTCACAAGAGAGTGTGAATCATGTAGATCATTAACATTTCCAAATACAAGAGCTTTACAGTGTAATCTTTATGCCTGCATATACAGTACAGAAATTCTGTTAACCCTGATCTAATACTTGTTTGCTCTTGTGGGATAGGGTGGGGAGGCAAGGGAGGGTTAGGTTGAGAGAATGTTATGTTAATGATGTAGTCTGTGTTTGCTACATCTGACATCAAGTTATTTGAAATATAGCTATTTAAAAATGTCTGTAATTTGTAGATTATTGTCTTCATTCCAACTTGTACATAACACTGGCTGTAATTGACATGAAATAAAGACAAATTTGTGTTGCTGAATATTGACTTTTGTAGTGCAGATAAAACTGATTTCTGCTTTTCATCACCATAATAACTAAGGAACTTATTTTTCTTTGGGTATCACCTATTGTGGAAAAATGTAGGGAAATGGATATTCCCAGTGATTCAAGGACCTACACAATAGCCAGCCAAAGAAAGTCGCACTAATCAGTCTTAATTAACTAAAATTCTATTTCATTTTTTAACACTATTAAACCTGCTTACACAAATATAAAGAGAGCATCGAGCAATACTTACTGAGGATTCAATTTTGAAGCAGCAGAGTCAGTAGCTCTAGCACAGTACTTTGGACGTCTCTTGGTGGATGGTTGTTTAACTCCAGCTGATTGCAGAGCCAGACCTAGTATAAATGTCTCATTTAAAATGTTCTTGTTTGTTGGATCGTAAATAATCATTAAAAATATAACGGCAGTCCAATTTTAACCACTGACTTGTAATTGTTCAGTATCAATGACTGGTAAATATTTGTTCGTATGTTGAACGATGTCCCTCGTCCGTGAATCAGGTGGCATTATTTCAAATGTTTTTCGATCTGATCAGAATGTGTAGACCCCCCTCATCCGTTTGCAGATACTATCAGTGCCTTGTGTGTCATAATGGTTCTAAATACATCAGCAGTTTCTGACTACTGTGCTTTTCAGCTTTGTGAATTATTCTCTATTCTCCTCTCTCCTTTATTCCTTTCAGCATTTGGAAATCAATTTGTTTGCTGGATATTTCCCAAAGCTACTTCAGTGATTTCTATTTTTCTTTCTTGCTAAAACTCGGGCCACAAAATTTGGTTGGGTGATGCTTGTCTCTCTGACACTTTTTTAGGCAAGCCCACTTCTGGTGTGATTGATTTTATTGTCGTGTGTACAATGTATGAGCAGTACAGGCAGATCATAGTAAGCAAGGATGTACAGATCAAAAAGACTTTAGACAGAGGCATACAGGTTACATTGCACAGGGTGTGTGCTAATCGAGATCAACGTTAGCAAGATCAGCATTGTTTCAGGCTAGAGAGACTGTGAATCAGTCTAATAACAGCTGGGAAGAAGCTGATCCTGAACCTGCTGGTGCATGTGTTCAGGTTTCTGTATCTTCTGCCTGATGAAAGAGGTTGTAAGAGGCCATTACTGGGTGCAATGGGTCTTTGATGCTGGAAGCCTTGCCACGGCGGTGAGCCATGTAAATGAAGTCCATGGATGGAAAGTTGACTTCTGTGATGGTCTGGGCTGTGCACATCAATTTCTGTAGTTTCTTATGGTCCTGGGCAAAGCAATTGCCACACCAGGCCTTAATGCACCCAGACAGTATGCTTTCAATGGTGCATCTGTAGAAGTTGATGAGGTCCTTACAGACATGCCAAATTTCCTGAGCAGCCTGAGGAGGAAGAAGTGTTGTTGTGCCTTCTTGACCATCACATCTACATGGGAAGTCCTAGACAAGTTGGTTATTGTCACACTGAGGAACTTGACGCTCTCCACCCCCTCCAACCTCAGTTCTGTTTGATGTAAATGGGGGCGTGTTCTCCTCTTTTCTTTCTGAAGTCAATGGTCAGTTCTTTAGTTTTGCCAACATTGAGGGAGAGGTTATTCTCATTGCACCATGTCACCAAGCCCTCTATCTCCCATCTATTTTTGACTCGTCGTTGGATATCTATCCCACTATGGTGGGGTCGTTAGCGAACTTGTAGATGGCATTCGTTTAGAATTTGGCAACACCGTTGTGGGTGTACAGGGAGTAAAGTAGGGGACTGAGGACGCCTCCTCGGAGGGTTCCAGTGTTGTGTTATGCAGACCTACACTCACTAACTATGGCCTGTTCCTCAAAACTGAGGATCCAATTGCAGAGGGTGGAACAGAGATGAAGATCATGGAGTTTTGAGATCAGTCTAGGAGTATATGGTGTTGAAGGTGGAGCTGTAGCTAATGAGGTGGAACAAAAACCGAAGTTACTGGAAACGCCCAGCAGGTCTGGCAGCATCTGTGAAGGAAAAATTAGTTAATGTTTTGGGTCCAGTGACCCTTCCTCAGAACAGGAAGGGTCACCAGACCCAAAATGTTAACTGATTTTTTTTTTTCCACAGATGCTGCCAAACCTGCTGAGCTTTTCCAGTAACTTCGGTTTTTGTTTCTGATTTACAGCATCTGCAGTTCTTTTGGTCAACGAGCAGGAGTCTGACATAGGTGTACGGCTTCCACTGTGTGGATCTGTTATGTCAGTAGACAAAGTGATGGGGATTGAGGCAGGGTGGGAGACTGCAGTTGATGTGGCTGTGACCAACCTGTCAAAGCACTTGCTGATTATTGAGGTCAGAGCTACTTGGTGGTAATCATTAAGGCATATGCTTTCTTAGGTATGGGGATGCTGGTGTGCTTCTTGAAGCAGGTAGGGACTTTGGCTTGTAGGAGGGAGATGTGATCCGCACAGGATCTGAGTGCTCAGCCGGGGACACTGTGTGAGTTGCGTTAATGCTATTTTGATGGGAGCATTAACCCACATGCAATCGCCACTGATTGAAAGAATGCAGAGTAGGTACATGGGGAAGTGATGGCCTAGTGATATTATCTCTGGACTGTTAATCGAAAGACCCACATGACATAGTGGGGACCCAGGTTCGAATCCCCCACGACAGCTGGTGGAATTTGAATTCAATAAAATATCTGGAATTAAGAATCTAATGACGATGAATCCATTGTCAATTGTCAGGAAAACCCCATCTGGTTCACTCATGTCCTTTAGGGAAGGAAACTGCCATTCTTACCTGCTGTGGCCTACAAGTGACTCCAGACCCCCAGCAATGTGGCTGACTCTGACCTGCTCTGTGGGCAATTTGGGATGTACAATAAATGTTACGTAGCTAGTGATGCCCTCATCCTGTTAATGAATAAAGAGATTGTGATGTCAATCTGTGTGTAATGTTGATTTGACGTTACTGCTTCTGTTTTGAAGCTCATCATACCAGCTAATATCTTTTGTATATGCAGACAATGAACATGCAATTAGCAGCATAAAAGTTTCCTCTCCAGACTGATTGAAAGGGATCATTGGCTCCTCCTTGTTTAATCCGTAGTTAATTTCTACAATTTCAAAAGAATAGTTCAAGAATTATGCCCTCCTAACTGTCCACAATCTATAAGCTTTTGAGAGAAAGATGTGTGCTCAACTTGTGTATTGACAATTTGATTAACTGTTTTTTTTGTGTTTATTATAAGTTATATGTGAACTATTAATCTTTAATTCCAACAAATGATTTCATATCTCAGATTTTTATCTCGGAAAAATCACTTAAAACAGTCTAAAATTCTTAAAATAATTGTACAGGGCACCGGACGTAACAGTGACCAAGTTTCTCAAATCTCTGTGGATTGCCAAGAAAAATGTCTGGGTAGTTTCCCTGCTGCATTTCCCACTTACCATCATTTGAAAAATCCGGTGTAATAAATCTTATGGATGGTGAATTTAAAAAAAAACCCATCTGCCTGCAAAAGCTGTCAAAGGAAAGTCACCAACGCTTATTTTGCATCCTTGACTTTACTAATGGAAAGTTCTAAAGTTCACCATTAGGTTAAATCTTTTTCAAAACACTAGTCCAGCATCGTTATTTGGCCCTGCAGCCAATCTGAGGCACAATGTTTTGGAAAGAATGTATAGCTTTGGTGAGGAAACAAGTGTGATTTATTACAATGGAGGAACGATGACCTGTGTACAAACACTGCACTAATTAGGGCCAATGTCCAAGAGCAGAGAAGATTAAATCCAATAAATATCTTCAAAATCATTAATCATAATGTCTTTGACAGTTAAATAAAAAGCTGTTTCTAGTGCCCGAAATGTTTTATTAATTGACTTTTATCTTTCCCTATTTCCTTGTTTAAAGAGTTGAAACCTGTTTTTCATTTTCAAGGCAGGAAAACGTTTCCAAACATCAATCCGCTTATAACAGTGGTTGACCAATCATAAATTTGAATTTCAGTTCCTTTCCTCTAGGAGTGAAGGCGATTGGATGGAGATATAATATATCCAGCGAGGGTAACAGCTGCGCCACTAATTGGTCAGAATCAACAATCCGAGGTCGACGATTGGAGGATCCTGCAGGTCAATTCGTGCAGGTAATTGGATATCAAGCCGGAACTATTGACTGATTGGCTAGTCCTTTATGAGGGCGATGCTGATTGGCGACCCGTACAGCAAAGCCGAAGTCGATTGGCTGAAGGGCTGGGTTTCGGTCTGCCCTGACTGGTTGTAAGGCGACTGGTTGTAAGGCGGTTGGCTTCGCTGATTGGCCGGCTCCTGGTTGGGGCCGGAAGTGAGTTAGGATTCGGAGCAGCGAGAAGATGGCGGGTATTAAAGGTAGGACCGGGTTTCGCAGTTACGCTGTGTGTTCACTAGGTCCGTCTTCAGTTTGTCAAGCAGCGTGAAAGACACTGCCGCTTGGAAGAGGGCATATTTTTTTCTAGTGATATGGAGTGGGGTTTGGGATCGAAGGCGAAGACATGGGGGAGGGGGGAGAGGATGGGACGGGATGGGATCCTTTTGTGTGAGAACCTAGGGCCGGGTCAGAAGGTCGCATGGCAGAGGAATTTGAGGGAGCCCCTTGAGACAGGTCATTGGGTGTCCCTGGGGAGGACTGTGGTTGGGTGGGGTAGGGAGTTGTTTTGAGAGACGCCCCGGGAGTGAGGGGCTGGGGTTGGTTTCTCTGGCGAATGGGTGACTGTACAAGTGAGTGAGGTATTTGAGGTGAAGGAAGAGGTTGGAGTAGGGTGTGTGAGACCCCTGCAGCGAAAAGGCGAAGTTAAAGATAGTATTAGATTTAAAGGAAAGCCTGACAAGGTTGCACATCTGAGGACTGGGACTGTTGGAGAAACAAGTCGTTCAGACAGCCTTTGGCTCTTTTATTAAAAATATTCAGAGACTTTGCCTCCACTGCTGTCCAGAGCAGAGAGTTCGAAAAGTACCCCACCTTCTGAGAAAAGAAATTCTCCCCATCTCCA